TTTTTTAAGGCGTTCAGGAACGTTCGAGGAGAATTTTCTAAAGGCCGGGATAATTATGAGCATCCGAGTATCTTCAAGGAATCTTTTAAATATTTTACTTTGACTCCTCCAGCATTACCTTGTATTAATCCTAGATTAAATATACAATAGGTGTAGTAAATCTTAAGCCGTAAGATCAATTAGTTTCTAAATACAATAAATGTAGCAAGCCGTAAGATATTGGTCAATTACAGTCGAATGTGAGGAGAATAATCGACTATAATTGGTTAATTTCTTACGACTTAAAGCTTACTACACTTATCGTGTTTCAAGACTTACAGTTGAATGTAAAGAGAATAATCGATTACGATTGATTAACTTCTTACGTTAAATTGGTACTATTAATGAATAATTACATGTGAAATAATTATATTCGTTACTGCTCTCAATCAATTTTATTAATCCACACGCACTTTTGTATGTGTCCGAGGTTTACAAGTAAAATATTCGGGATTTTTGGTCTGTAAGTTCTAGTTGTGAAAAATTTGATGTGACAACCCTACATGATCTCTCTTTTCTACGTGTCAAAGTGAGAATTTAGCATCTCGAAATGAAACGGCTATCCATCGCGATAACCACTACTGACGTATTTTACGCTAGTTTCACATTTATACATGAGTTTTGCGTCAATCATGTAAAATGCAGCTTGAAATGTCGCACGCTTTATTAGCTCGACATATATTTCGCGTGTACACAATAATTGAACGTAACTTATTCATACGTGCGATGTTTACGGCTGCGAGCTCGATGGTAATTCGTCGCTTTTGCGCCGTCGCGACCGGAAGATGATCGGAAATAAATATTCACGAGCTTTCGCCCGCGTCAGCTCGGCGACCGGCTTTCTGAGCATCCGCGAATTATCGGCGCTTATTTTTCTAGCGATATTTTTTCACCGGGAGAAAAGCAGTCGGGAAGGCATTATCGCAATTAATCAAACGCCGTATCGACCGATGAACGGAGAACGGACAAAGAGTGGTTGCATCGCTGTCACGGCGCAAATTACAGTGCGATTATTTCTCTAGTTCGCGGATTCGATTTATTCGCGTTAAGAATCAACGGTGCCATTCGTTATCGATATGACAAAAATGTCGGCTGCGATATTTTCACCCGAGCGTGTATTCCTGGAAAGGTCTCAGCATTACCTGCGCCAGGTGGAACGAATGCAGGTGGTGAGTTTCAACGCGAAATTTGTTGGTTAGCAGCCGTAGTTTATCGGAAATATCTTTTTTTTTGTTGCTCGTGCTCTACCCACGACGCTTCGCTGATGATCTGCTCAGCTAGTTTTCTTTGGCGCATGCGAAAGCAAAAGCGTAAATATGACGAGAACCTGCATGAGCCTGTTTTTTTTTAGCTTAACTTCTTGCATGAGTCACCTTTCCTCTTTTTTTTCTCAACGTGGAGAGAAAAGGAGGAAAAATGAACTGTGCAAGAAGTTCAGCTAAAAAAAAAATAAATAAATATCAGCTTAATAACGACAGAATGCGATCTAATGACCAGTATACATCTATTAAAAGTCTGTACATATTTTTTTATCTTTTTATCTACCAGTTTTAAACCGTTTTATATTTTAAATATGTATATACTTGTTACTTTGTATTTTTAACATTGAGAATGACCCAATCGGGCTCGAGAAAGAGAAACGCTGTATATTATATCTTTAATTTAAATTTTGTTTTCTTATGATTTGTAGCCCTTCTCAACACTTTTATCATTAATTTTAAAAAATAGACCTATTCTAAGTGGTGCCTTCAACACATTCGATCGATTAATATTTTATTTCACGCTACAATTTTAACAAATTCGTATTGGAATCCTTTCTTCAAATTCTTATTTTTATAGTGGTATTGCATTATATATATTTACGAAAATATTCGTAAATTATTTTTGTTAGTCTGGACTCTTACATAAAAAAAACAAGTGAAATTGAAAATATCTTATCTTTTTATGAGCAATTTCGTCACAAACTTAAATTTTTTTAAATAAATAAAGATTCTGGAGAATATATTGGAGATGATTGCGGATTCTGAAAATAAATGTTGAATAATGCATTCAACGTAGTGCTTTGCCGTGCATAGAAATTAGCCAACTCCATGCGAATTTATTAACAATGTCCAATTGCTTGGCGCGATACGTCTTGCAAATTTGCCGAGAGCCTCAAGGGAGAAGTCGGCAGGTGCGTACGCAAGTGGCATACATCTCCGGGACTCACCCTCCTCCAACAGCGACTCCATGGCGGAATCTCTCGGGCAGAGGTCCAACGAGTTTGCGAAAATTCGTCCTACGACGGCGAGTATATTTTGCGCTTTTGTTGGTCTAGCGCCAAAGACCTCGCGTATGTTCGGTGCTCAACGATCGATGTTCTCATCAGTCGTGGTACTCTAGATCTATCACCGTCGCAACTCCCACGTGATTTTTACAAAATACCGTTTCCTCAGCGCGTATTAATATCGGATCGAGTCAAAGGTCAAAGTGGAAATACGCGAAGAGTAATTCTGCGACTCGATTATTGGATTCACGCGGGTGGTGCGTATTTGCGAAATGCCACGCACGCACACATTCGCACGCACTCGCAAGAGCGACGCCAACGGAAAGCAATCTCCCTCGGAAGATCGGATACGGAATACATTACTCGCATTAATGTGTTTGCATTAAGATTGTCGGTTGTTGAAATTTGTCTCGGTGCATCGTTTTACATGCAGCTCTACAGAGAAAGCACGGTAATTTGGAATACAGATGGTGAATAAACACGATGCGCAAATTGTGTATTCGCATTCGGTTGCAATAATATCACCACCGAACATTACATAGCGACCGATAACATCGTGAAGGATAAACACCTGTAGAAATTCAACTCCGTGTCAAGCGTCTATAGCGATCGGTTAGTCCGAGTTCTCGTCGAATTAATTTTCGAAAATTCACGAGATATGCGAGTTCGCGTTTACGTAAGGGTTAAACTCGCGCATGAGATTAAGAAACGCCACGCGAGAATCGCCAGGTCAACACGAGCCTCCAAAGGGATTTCCGCGAATTCTTACGTGGCACTCGACTCGCGAGAAATACGCACGCGGCACGATTTTTTACCGTTCGCTACCCCGAGAAAAGGATCGCTCGGACTGTGTACGGCAACCCTCATCATTTCACGAATCCCCGACGTGACGCAGCTCCGATTTACCGTCGCCAAGCAACGGAACCTTCGTTCGTGTGCGAGTACTCGTACGTACTGGTACGTACTGGGCAGCAGTATCTCGTTCGCTGATATCCGTGAGCGCCTGACGTATGCCCACACACCCACGGTCTGGCGCCATCGATTGCCAGCCGCCCCTATAGCTTCGTGGTCCATACCCGAGGAATATCGGAAACGAGGCGGTATTTCGTTCAGCATAATTTTCCCTAGGCGATATGGGAGCGAGGACCTCTTGTGTAGTAAATAATAAATATGTTTACAATGCCCCATTGTTGTAAACAGATGCAGCGGTCACTTTCGTGAGCAGCATCGAGGATCTAAAATTCTAAACTAAATATTGTAGATGAATATCGATCCATGGCAATACGTGGATTTATACCAAACAATGTTTTTGATGCTGTTATTAGGATATACTATAAACACACTTTCCGCATCAACGTAAGATTATTTAATGTGCGTAGCTTTAATATTGAATTTTTTTTCGCAAGTAATTATTTTTTAAATCCAATTATTTTTTAAAATTTATTCAGTTGAAGTGATAGAAAATGTATATAGAACTTCGAAAAAGTCTAGTTTTTTCGTTATCGACTATTGCATTTTCATAAACTCTTGAAAAATTACTTCTCTTGTGCTTACAAGAAGAATATTACGATAAACAATCACATTTACGGATTGTTACTGTCGTATTCTACGAACACTTCAACTATTCAACAAGATTCTTATGAGATAAAAGGAAAGAATATTGAAAACTTTCAAAGCTGTTTCAGCGTAACCATCTCAACTAGATTTGCGTAATGCAAAATTTGTTAAAAGATGAATTCTGAAATAATTATTAATGTTTCTTTTTTGAAAAATGATATTAAAATATTCTGAAAATATTTAACATTTATCACACTCCAACAGGTTAATATGAGACTCACAAAATCGAATAATCGTAAAAATTAAAATTGTTATAATATAAATTGAAAAATCGTTAAGATATTAATACAGAATAATTATGAATATATTTTAAAAAATTCGTAGAAGAAAAAAGACTTCACAGGTTAAGATTTAATATTTTAGGTTACTTGGATACTAACCCAATTTTCCTGGCATATAATTACAAACAATATGCAAGTATCAAAAATACCTGTGTGGTTATATATTTCGCATAACGACACAGGGTAAACATTGTACGGCGTGCAATAATTGAGTTATCATACTAACGGCGTACACACACTGCGGTCATGCATAAATAAATATAATAATCCGCAAAGCGGCGTTCCTCGATTCGCCAGGCAAATTAACGCGCGCTTTTGTCGAATGATATTTTATTTAATGTTCACCGGAATCAGGCATTTTCGCCAGTAGTCGATTGCCGACCCTCTTCTTTGCATTTGTGCATTATTTAACGACGATTGTTTTAATGTTGATCTGAATCCTTCAAAATGGATAAATATTTGTTTTAGCGTAGAAAATAAGATTATACTGTTGACGCAACGCGTCAATAGAAATAACTAATATACTATGACTAGTGTATAATAAAATTTTGTTTTTTAATAATAATTGTTTTCCATTCATATTGTGTTATGCTTATCATCACATGTTATCATAAGCATGATATATTCTTATATTAATATGATCAGTATTAATGTAAATATTCACATATATACATCATGCGAGAAATCAAACCGTTATACTCATCTGGATAATTATTCAGCTGTGTGACAAAAAAAGAAAATCAGAAAAATTGTTTTAGCTTCAATATATTTCAGATATTCTATTCTTATATCTTAGCCTTAATTGATAGTATATTTTAGTTTTAACGTGACTTTTACTAAAACATTCATCGGGAATTCATTTGAGATAAAAAACGAATGGTATCGAATATCGATAAGCGCAAACTGCGCGCGATATAATTTATGATGTTAGCTGATATTTGATGAATGGTATACCTACGTGCAGACAGTAGATTCTATTTGCATGATGTGAATGTAAAAAAAAGTATTAGAATGCAGTGCGAATCGCTACGAAATGTAAGAAATAGAGGTTACACACAAGGAAACACAGTGGTAGTATACTTAATGAATTTATAATAAACTCCATAAGACGTACTGTACATCAATTAAATCAGCCTCGTTTAATAAATTAATTACGCTTTAATACGAAATGGAATGACTGAGATACACAAAGTTGTGTCGTTATCATATAACTCGATATAGCACATCTTTTTCTCGCTTATCATATAGTACATAGTCCCTAAATAGCAACACAAAAAAGAAGTTCGCGCAAATATCCGATTCAGGTACATCATCTCGCACACTGTAAAATACTTAGGCGGGCCGCAATATATATTTTTCTCGAACACTTTTACTTATCAGTTATTCGTACAGAGAAAAAGTATGGCAGTGTGTATTATGTGTGTGTGTATATGTGTGTGTGTGTGTGTGTGTGTGTGTGTGTGTGTGAATAAATATGTGTATACATATGTGTATATAATCGAGCGATTTGACATACTCATATTTGTCGTGTTATATGCATTTATGTTCGGTATATGTTTGTATTACGTGTATATGTGTCTTTACGCTGTCGAAGAATACGCACGTACATTCATGCTACGTTATAGTCTCCTTCTGAGTTATAAAAGTACGAAAAAAAAACTATCTTCTCATACGATGCGACGAAACGTACTATATGTATGTATACGTATACCTACACATTGCAAACACATTATTCCCGCTGGAAGGAAGCAAGAGTACATGGTCTAATAATAATAAAATAACTCCTGAATATATATCGCGAGTATATATATCCAGCCGCGTCTGTCGTCGCTGCAGTGCATTTTGGACATTTCGTTGATCGTCGGATGAGTGAACGTCGGATAAATCATCTCGCTGTGGAGTTCACCCTTCGTCCACGATTTTTTTTTCGGCCTTTTCTGTCGTCCGAAGCCGATCGAACTATCGGTTGCGTCCCGTCACTTCCATTCCTCCACCATTCTAACTATAAGCCTTTCAGGTTTCATCGCCGTGATGTGATTGCTAAGGAGCTTCCTGTATTCGCTCTGGTTGGATATTCCTGATGCGTGGTGATCCGAGGCCATCCCATAGAGGAAACGTCATCATCGCACAAAGCACCTCTCGAGCCCTTCGCCAGACTCTTCCTTCTCCTCCTCCTCCTCCTCCTCTTCTTACAAACACGTCAACGTACGCAAAGTGTTCCAAAGCGCGTTTCTCGAACGATGCACTATATATGCCTTTAACGAATGACGATTAGAAGAAGCGCAAACAATTCCAAAACGATCCTCGCCGTCGGCCGCAGGCTCACCGTGGAGGACCCCAGCACTGAAAAATTATCGAACGAGATGCTCTAATAATACAATCTCCTATTTTTTGTTTGTGTTTTTCTTTCTCAAGGGATTGAGTCGCACGGGCGAAGGAATTCAGATCACGGCTCAACGGCGTGGTTTTCTGAATGCCCCGACTGTGTTTCAATGTAAACGCCTAAGCCTAAGGAGGTCAAAGAACTCATCGAGTTCGGATATTGTTCGAACTCAAAAAAATAGAACTCTCTCTAAGCAAATGAACCAGCTGCTGGTCCGCGTCTAGATTCTCGAAGTGTCTCGAATTTCGATAAATAATTGAAGACGTAATGGAGATAAGCGATGATGTATTTACGGGGATTATGTTTCCTTGAAATAATGAATACATAGATATAACTGATATAACTACGAGTCCAGTTGGCGTTTATTTCTACGTATTATATACGTGTATGTACATATGTATATGTTACGTTTCTCTATCTAAATGGAGTTAGGCATATATAATTTCTCATATTTAAAAATACGACAATTATATTTAGTAGAAATAGAAGTAACGACAGAACAGAAACAGAAGCAAAAGTATGAAGCAATAAATGCAAGTTAAATTTTTGGAAAGGGGGGATTGAGACTCAGTATCCTTACCACACATGAATTGACATAAACATAAATTGTAATATGTATATTCTCTAAATTCTTTGGAGTAGAATCTCACTCTAAATAGTGAAAATTGAGCCAGTCTTGAAAAAGAATAACTCAATTTTCAGTCTTTAAGAGTGAGATTTCACTCTTTAGAGTAAGATTCACTCTAAAAGTTTTAGAAAGTAAAGTTACGTAATATACATATGCATACACACTTTAAATTCTTACGCATTCTCTCGGTATTTAGCATTTTATAATTTATTCGTAAATTGATGCTTTACTATCATGGAGTTATTATTTATGTGCCCCTTAGAGCAGTCAATTAAGTAAGGCAAGTATATTGCGGCGCGAAAAAGCGAAGAAACGTTACCTTTTACTCCAACCTGCCCGTCAGGTTTCTTTTGGCCGGTCTGAAAATTTGGCGGTGGCTGGAGGTAGTTGATGCCGACGATAGTCGCGGCAGGCTCGTAATGTATCACTCGCGGCCGATCCTCCTCGGCGCTGACTTCCGTGCTCTGCCAATAAATATCGTATATCGACGCGCTACAACGTATCTTCAGCTTGCCGCTCACGAAGTGATCGTGCGAAACCAGGAACTGGAGCCCAATTTGCGAAATCTGCCATTCCGATTCGTTCGTGTCGAGCGGGCTATACGTGCGAACGTACGCTTTGAGAGGCTGAAAGGAGAAAAGAAACAGAAAAGATACAAATTAGTGTCAACGGGATTACGCAAAACTTTTATAAATATGTGAACACAGTTCTACAGTTATACGGGGAGACAAAATAATGCGTGAACACCTAGGAAATGTACTATCTACTTGTTTCATTAAGAACTTACTTTACCATTTATCTTTAATGCAAATTCTATCCTTGTTGAAATAGTGTCATACATTCTCGAATAATATGGTAATTGCTACAGTGCTATCATACCATTCTTTAAATAGAACATCTTCTAATTGTTTAAAAGATATCGAAAGAGGAAATTTGTTTCCTCTGCTCCTCAAAACTACAAACAATATTTAAATCAGATGATTGCATTAGTCAAGAAAGATGAAGTTTTGGAGAAAGGATAATTTTGGAAAATAGAATGAGAAGAAAATTTTTTTCTCCAATATCATTTATATTATTAAGCAATTGAAAGATGTTCTAAGAATAGTACAACATTATCTATTGATAACTATTTAAGCATTGAGTGATTATTCCAACCAGGATAGAATGTGTGTTAAAAGCAAATAATGAATTAATAAAACAAGTAGTAAAATAAATATGTATTTCCCAGGTGTCCACATTATTTTGTCTATTCCCTATAAATATGTGTAGCATATAAATGTAATATAGATAATGTGAAAATTATATATTATTATTGATTATAATATATAATTTATAATCATAATATGTATATCAGAGCCGTATTACATATATTCTGATATAGTAGTAAATAATTCGAATATATTTAATTTTAAAAAGTTAATTAGGTTTCATTATTTGATGGCCGTGATGAGTTAACGATAGTATAATAGCTTGTTAAGAGATAAAATAAATATTGATATTGTGGTATAAGGATAAAACAGTATATTCGCGCTGCTTCATATGTCATTAATGCTGCTGTTATATAAATTCTCGGTAGTATGACGATTTCAATTTTCTGACAATCATACGTTCGTGTTTAGTACGTAAAATAATTTACGTAGAGGTGCGTTGACGTAAGGTGATTAAGGAAACCATTTTGAGCATTGCAAATGCGACGTTTTGTAAAAGTACGACTTTAAAATATACACTAGTATTAAAGCATTTTAGCATTTTATCGTTTAATTTATGATACTTTTTGAAACAGCAAATTTAATTATTTAAATAATTACTCGAAAAAGATTTAATTATTTAGATATATGTATAGAGATACACAAAGATTTAAAAATTTTCGAACATTGTCTCAATCGAGCCTTAATTAAGAGTTATTTACGTTATAATATTATACGCTAATTGAGAATCGGAATATTAAATTATTTTCCGCCCTGCGGATGCTGTGCTCGCTCCAACTTTGGAACATCTCGAAGAGGAACGTATCCCATAAGCTCCCTTGTCTCTGACGTTTGATCAGGGATAATGGATCAAAGCCGGAGTAAACTAAATAGAGGTATCTGATCCTCCTCTCTCATTCCTTTCCGTCCGTCTATCCTCTCGTCTAACCGCGCGCGCATTACTATCATTAGCAGTTAGAGCATACCTGTCGATCGTTGATATACCAAGTGAGATTCGCAGCGGGTTTGCTCCGGTCAGATGTGCAGTTCAAACGTAGCGGATCGTCAACGCGGTATTTCCTCTTTAGTCCCTGTATCGACGGCATCTCACAGGGCAATTCTGCGAAGGCAATATATACTCCACATATATAGAGTGCTCCAGATCTTAGCCACCCCAGCCAGCCCCTGGCCTTAGTGAGCTACCCTCCCCCCTCCCCATGCATACGTACTATTTCGTGGTGTCGAAAGCAGATTTTCTCTCGAAAATATCAAGGAAAACTACTCTTTTCAACACTACTCTTTTCAACAAATCTTCAGTTTCTCGCATTAAAGTGTTCACAATAAATTTTTAATATTTTTGCATATCCCAAACTGAAGTAAAGCTCATTTCATGTGAGATTAAGCCCCCTATTTTTTTAATTCTTAACGACAATGTCGATGTCGTTACATTGTCATTGCCTAGATTTTACACGTATAAAAAAATTACGCAGCGACAATATAACGATACCAACACTGTCATTAAGAATTACGGAATAGGACCTAAAATATTTAAACGATAATTAAGAAAACCTTCAATTGCCAAACCCTCGAGTTCTTCATAATGGAATAGATGCCATTAGACAAAGAATACGTGTACATATTTGAAAGATAATTACCATAAATGGACTAAGAGAAGAAAATTGAAACGTATTTGATCATATTATTATTTTCTTATGACAATAAATAATTCACACTAATTGATTCAAGAACTTTCTATGTTGCTCGTTATAAGTCATTAACCCATTTAATTTTGCTTTTTACGAACTTGATAGTCTAAGGCCCGATTGTATCAACTTAACTTTAAGCAAGGCTTAAAACTCTCCCCTCTCTATCCCTCTCAGCTTTAAAAAGAGAGAAAGAGATATGGTAAGTGTTACCAATCATAATAATCTAACCAACCGTTTGGTAATAATTGAGAGGATTGGCGGAATAAAGACACAATTCTATTTAGGCTCTTTTTCCGGAGATTAGCGCAAATAAATAAGGAATTGATGTTGCTTACATTAGTTAAATATGAACGTGTTTCGATTGTCCTGTGGTGGTGAAAATGATATAATCTATGGAAAAAGGACATAAATGATTTAAAATTGTTAATGAGATTTTTATCGGAGACTGAACGAAAATGGTATGACAATAATGTGTTTTTATTACAACATATTTATGCTAAAAAATCTTACGAAAACTCACCAGATGATTGAACATTATTTCAATTTATTTTGGACAAGTAAAAGTAAAATGTATTTCATATTCATTTTATATTTCTTCCAGAAGAATGTGAAAATAAAAAACTTGTCTGCAGTTCATAGTCTTTTCCCTCTGTCGATTCTTACAATCTTATGATCAATATTCAGAAAAAGGGACTAAGTGCATTTTTTAAATTGCAAATAACTTTTTAAATATTGATCATAATAGAGAAATATTATAACATATATCTTCTCAAAGACATTATATAAATATATATTTAATATTGTTCCCATTTGTGATATAATAAAAAAGTAATACGTTATTTTAATTTTTATCAAAATCAAGATTTTGTAATTAATCCTTTATTCCGTCCATCCCCTCAATTACTAAATATATTTTTTTTAAGTAAAATTATTTTTAATTGTATTAACCGAATATTTAAATGAAACTATTTCACTCAACATGTGGTAGCTGTTACCAGACTATTTTTTCAATGTAGTTTGAAAGATGATTCTTTCTAGTGAGAAATGACAATGGAATCGACATCGAATCGACGTCGATTCCACATCGATTCCATTGTCATTTCTCACTGGATTTAGATTCGAGCTACCCTGTATGTACGCAGGCGACCATCGCATGAGCTTGCGTGCAATCGAGACGTTGTCGCTTTGACTGGGCTTGACCGGACGTCGTCTCGTCCCCTAAAGCCCGACGCAGTCGAAACTTTCGACGATGGTCGATACGAGGGGGCGAAATGGCCTTTCTCTCGCACTCTCGTCCCTCGTACGAAAAATTCTTTTCTTACGATGGATGGAGAGATTCGCGCTCGCGTGACTCGAACCGTTTCACTATCGGCACGCGTTGTCAAGTATACACGTACACACGCGCAAGCCGTTACAGACACCTGTACGTGTCGTCGCCAGCCCGGGGCTCGGAAAATATTACTTTTTCACTTTTTACGGTGAAACGTAAATTCGTGCGCCTCGTCGCGCCTTTACGACGAAACGGGGAGAACGCAACGAATATAAAAGTGTCGCCGTTCTCTGACGCGAGCGCGAGAAGCGAGAATTGAATAGTCCCGTCCTTGCGGAAGATTTGTGTCGCATCTCCGAAACTCCGCGAGCTCTCGAGCGCGCGCGAATATGTATATATTACTATATACAGTATATTTTCTTGTTCCTCGTTTGCGAGACGCGGCTGGTTGTGACGCGCGCGCGAGAGACACGAGTAATTAAAAAAGACATTTAATTCTCTCGGGAGTACGTTCGTACGTAATATCAGAATAGATTACGGTATATATTTGAAAAGGAAGTCCCAGCAAAATGTTGTCGGGGTAGAATTTATCGGATGTCACGTTTTAATGAAGGAACCTCGAAAATAGCGACGTGCCGTTTACGTTGTTAAAATATATTACTCTCGACGCGCAATCCCTGTAAATTGCGAAAGGCGTCGCGTCGCTCGCGAGGCATAGGAATCTCTCTGGTTTTTCTCTCTTTTTCCCTTTTTCTTTTTTTCGCAAAGCGCTTCGGTCCGTTGATCTTACAGTAAATTATCGTAAAAGTTTTATTGACGGCGAGAATACGATTTAAATAGCGCGCTTATTATTATTCCCCTTATCAAAAACTCGATATCGCCAGGACAGTCGGCCGTAAAGTGGACGAGGCGCGTTAAATCGCCCCGTGCTGGTATAATAACGTTCTACGTGTTTTTTACCCAGTCGACGATGGCGTCCTAAGTTATAAACGTATATACGGAGTAAGAGCATCGGAGAATAGGAGACACTTACCAACGACGTTCATCGCCGCGTAAACTATAGCCGTGTGGAAGGAAGGTGCATCGGCTGATACCTCGCAGCTGTATACGCCCGCCGCCTCCAATTCCAACTTCGTCAGCACGACCTGCGTCGCGTTGCTCTCCGTTTTCTGCAGAATAAGGATAATTCATTACGATCGTACGCCTCGACACGAAGGCGTCTTCGTCGCTCTTCCTCGTCCTTCGTCGTCATCGTCGTCATCGTCGTCGTCGTCGTCGTCGTCGCGATTATCGAGAACACGAGGACCGCGAGAATTCTCCCGGGTGGATATGCACGGCATGTATACGTGTACATACGAGAATACGTAACGGACGCGCTTACGACAGGAATCCGTCCAATCCATTAATGACCAATGCTTCCGCCAATCGCACGACATGGGACCGACCTGGTTATTCGGTATCAGCCTCGATTTGATTCCCAAACGGGAACTTCGTCTCGCGTTTCCCCGCGGTCCATTCGCGATGTTAAATATTCGCGATGCACTCGGGCTTGCTTTTTTTCCCTCTTCTGTTTTTTTTGTACATACATCGACTGCCGATTGCCGAGAGTCGTTATCGGGGATGTTAAAAGTAATGAATATCGCAGCAAGGTGTCCGAATTGCGTTTCGAATTGCAGTGAAAAGCGCCCGCGGCTTGGCATTCGTATCGCAAAAATGCGACGCACGGAGCGTTAGAACGATCGGACGTTAAAAATCGCGCGTGCAAGTGCAATAATGCAGAATGATCTATTTCACCGACTGCGGATTCGTGTCGTATCTCATTGCGTGGATATTCGTCATAACAACTGACATTAGATCGTAATCAGAACTGTCATGTCCGCGGAATTTAAAACTGGACTTTGTCGGACCACATGTACCATGTATAAAATTATATTTAACGGCGCTTTAAGCAACTAGGTTGGAGTATATAAACGATGCATCCACAAAACATTCGTAAAGTAAAATAAAAATCTTATTTAGAAGGAATTACTTTGAAGAGTAAAAATTGTAATTCAATGTCGCAAATTGTATATATACATTTGCGGTATTGAAAACTGTACTCTCTAAAATTTTTATCAAATTTCACTCTCAAAGATTGAAAATTGAGATACTCTTTTTCAGGACTACCTCGATTTTCACTCTTTAGAGTGAGAATCCACTCCAAAAAATTTAGAGAATACTACATGTACTATATAAAACTATAGTATAACTATATATACATATATATATAATGGTTTTATATACATATATGCATCTATATACATAAAACTATTGATATATATAACAAAGTGTCATCGATTCTTCCTAGCTGATGAATTACAGAAACACAATTTTTAAAAACTGTAGAATTTGCGATACCATAAATTGAATATAAGACTACAATAAAAAACGCGATAAAACTCCTGTCCAGTTAAAAAATTAAAAGGAAAAATAAAAACGGAATTTAATGGAGGGAAAACGCGACCCACACCAGAACGAGCAACACACATCGACGAGGGCCATCAGTTACTCCTCTCGTAGGGAGACAGCTCGAATTCAAAAACTTCGATCAGCCGATATGTAGAACGGTACGCTATACAGCAAGCAGGAACTGTACGTTCCGGCGGTATCGGTGTTATCGTGTTCTATTCGCAACTTCTCGACCGCAATAAATCCTCATCCCTTCTCTCACTCTCTCACTCTCTCTCTTCCTCTCTCTCCCTCTCCCTCTCTCCCTCTCTCTCTCTCTCTCTCTCAATCTCCCTCTTTCTCTTCTTGACACCCGCTTTTTTTCTTCGCGCGATCCCGCCGAGGTACAGAAAGATCTCGAGATTTTGCGATGGCTCGCGGGACACCGAAGGTTGTAAGCTCGTCCGTCACTTTGGATTGGAGATGGGGGACGAGGGCAAACTTACCTTCACCGTCAGGTTTCCAATGGGGAAAGTCTTGACGGGCGGACTCTCGTTCGGAGCATAGCGATAAAACTCTCGACCCCCTTTGTACCACTTGACGGCATACAATGGGTCGCCCTCGGTGTCATACCAACATTTCAACGTCGCCGAGTCGCCCTTCTTCACGGCCGTCGGTATCTGGATGCGCACTCCCCGCAGACCCGAACAAATTCCTGGGAAAGAGAGAAAGAAAGGAATGGTTCGTTAAAATTATATTTTATTCGCGTCGCTCTTATTCGTCTACGCCGCGGGCATCGTATTATACATCCGTTTGTCGCTGAAACGGCGCGGGTGTCCCGGCATGCTCCAGCTCACGTTGCGCGCTTATCGGGACGGATGATCTTGCTGAAGTTATTAGGGCACGTGCAGGACGCAGAGACCCGCGTATATGGATCCGAATCTCGACTCATGCCCCCGAGGGAAAAGAGGAAATGAAAGCCGAAGGTGAATTTCTGCCGTGTCATGTCATGAGAGGCGGCTGAATATCGCGATGCATACCTCATCGATTACGTTCGCGGACAGTGTTTCCCAAATAGGAAAAGTGACGACGGGCTTTCGCGTCTGGGAGGGTAAGCTGAAATAAAGGCGCTACGTCACATAATATTCTCTAACTATCGATTTTAAAGTCCCAGCGATGGTCTACTTCGATTCGGTATTCCGTATGGCCCACTCTTTCGTGACTCAATCATTAAATGTTATCTCGTTATTTTCAAATTCGATAATACGCGTGAGAATAATAATTTGTCATTGTCATTATTCGACCTTTGTATAAAAACGTCATATTTTTTCTTTATCGTCATATACACTGCTATAATACTACACGCTCGACAGAGCGAAAAACCGATGGAAGAAATATTATGTTAATTAAAAGATTATATTTCCTCTGACCTTTCTATCGTAAGGAAGCCTCATCTTTTAATTATATCAAATGATCCTATGCCGAGAGCTTGGGAACCACTGAGCTTCGCAGACAGCCACGGCTGATTATCAGAGTGACATCGTCATTACGCGGAAATCCTCGTAATGAAAGCAACCGCGAATATAATACGAGTTCGCGAGAAATAGTTTCTTATAATAATGACGATGCGCACAACGCACTCAACTCGATCTCATCTGCGGATTCGAAATTATTCGGCGAATCCCATGTCGGCCCCCGGAATCCTTTATCGATCGTGAATAGAATCCTTCCTGCGCTCCGCTCCTCCCCAATCTCGACCAAATATTCTCATTCACGAGGAATGGGATCGATCTCACGCGAGAAACAGAACTTACGCGTTCTCGAAATGGATTTCGTCGTGACGGCGCCTTTCGCGGAATTTCCACGTGCCAATGTATTCGAAAATCATTCATTTTTCCAAACGGTCCCATTTTCCAACTATTTATATCACGCGTTTTTCATAAAAGATTATGCAATAAATTTATAAACGTCGTATATGTCGATCAATGAAGGAGTTCCATTAACGGCGAAAATCTTAAAAAGAATGTACAACCTTAGCCAAAAATATTAGACATCTTATTAATCATCATTTAAAGCTCATTATTTTTAGCTCAAAAATTTATTTATGACATTTGCTGTAAATTATCCTTTATTTCAAAAACCCTTTAAACTTATGTATATTTTCGGTCCTCAACAGACGACAATAGAGATAAATAAATTCCAAATAAATATAAGTGGAAAAAATATAAGTGACTAATATGTTTAACCAAGGCTGTATGTCATTTAAAAACAGCACTGAAAGTAAAAATTTCATAGATCATTCTATTTTTATATGTAAGTATTTATGTAAAATTTTTAAGCACAATTCTTTATTAGTTTAAAAGTTATTTAATTTTTTAGTTTATCCTAATTCTTGCGTAAAATTACGTTTTATAATATTTATTTGCAATTTTGATAATGAAGTAACATTAAGAATGCAATCAAATTTTTTATACACATACTAATAAAACAATTATAAATATTCGTATAAAAATTTATTTGGATTCACTCACTCGTATAAAAATTATTAACCTAAAACTGCAACAAATATAGTCCATTTTACAGCATAAAACCATTATGATAAAACTAAATTATTTGTTGTTTTGTTTTGTAGTTTGTTTCAGGACGTAATTATGAGCTAATGTTATCAAAATTTTTTAAATAATCTTGACTGACATTACTCAATTAGCTTATTTTAGCTGATTATTTGACTGATACTTTTTACTATTCTCTAAATTTAAATCAGTGGATAATCACTGATATCAGTGCCAAGTATGCCACTGGTAATCAGTGAATTAAATGTGAGATTCCTAACCTAGCTAATCTTTATTATGTGATCTAACTAACCTCGTGTTAGTGCTTAAATTCAATGAATATGATATTGGAAGATTGAAATTAACGTGCAAATATCGGTATTTTAGTTATACAATGCTCTCAAATATTCTTTCTTTTTTAATTGAACTTCACTGATTATCATTGCCAAGTATACCACTGGGTAATTAATGACTATCCACTGATTCAGATTTAGAGAGATAATATTGTCAAATATATCAAGTCATCCTTAAGCGTATATTATAAATATAACCTGAAAAAAAGAATATAAAACTAGAGTCGCACATCGTGACTTGTTACCGTATTCAATCAGGTAACAAACTTTATGGTCAGCAAACTCTTAAGTTAGGGATTCTGTTTATGTAAAGAAAGTCCGTAGTATTAAAGTTTCTGTGTAAATGATTCATGCAGTACGCAACGATTTCAATGCGACATTTTTACCCAAGTTTCCAACGCCAAGGAAAAATTCTTAGCTTTTCTTTCCATAGGATCGATATAACGTTCGGCTCGCAGTTTCACGGATTGGACAAAGAAATTTCGAAGGAGTATCGTAGGAAAATATTACCCCAGCGCATTAAAGGCAACGATGGGGGGAAGGGGGACGTAATGTCCCTCTATCCCGTTTAGAGGCACTTCGCGGGGCTTACGGGTATTTAGTTGCAAAACCACGAGGGCACTCTCTCGCGGCCGGTCGTTAGTCGTTAATAAAAAGTGGATTTGCGGCGAACATAGCGACGACTGACGGGGAAGAAGAGGGTTAAGGTGACAACCCACCCAAGACCGTCGTCGTGACGGCAGAAAGTAACAAACGTGCCGTCGTGCGAAAAAAACGGATAAGCACGCACGACGCGCGCCGTTAACGCACTTGTGTAACACTCTCGAGCGACGACGATAGCCATATTAACGAATCGAATTTACTCCGAGCTATCCGAGTTTTTCGCGGTATATCGAACCATTGTATTCTCTCACAAAAAAGAGAAGAAAAAGAAAAAAAGAGAAGTGGATGCGCAAATAGCGCTTCGCAATAATTTCCATTCGCTCAGTGTATCCAGTGGCGAAGTGGGTAATATCAATCTGCTCAAGAGACAGCGGCTCGATTCGGAATATTCGATGCCGATATGAGAGCGAGTTCAGCTTAATTCGCTTACACTAATGGCGATACGCTCGGTTTAACGGACGGCTTTCGCGCAATGAATGCGATTTCGCCCGATCGGACAATCGCTACGGACGGATCTTTAGAACGGATATGACGTTCGGTAGAGCGATCGGCTTAATTAGCTGCCGAGCGAAGCGACGAATCGCATTTGCGGAGTGGGAAAGAGACACAGGAGGCCCGTATCGTCGTGCGCTTCGACGCTTCGCATCCCTATACGCTCCAATAGGAAGCTTATCTTTTGTGTGCCGGCAAAAGGCTCGCGCGCACGATCGGACGAAAATTATTGACGAGAATGAGCTGCACGCATCATGAGACTTTGATTCGAGATTTCGCATACGGAAGTGTTATCTGCATTCTGCTATTTTTGGTACAAACTGATAAAGCAAGATACCGTAATAATAGAACAATCGCCGCCGACGCGCATCGTTATCTGCGTTATATAAATGCGTAGGTAGGCAAAGTTTCATTCTTTTTTTTTTCGGAAAGGGAGAAAAAAGGATTATAAATCGCTTTTTACACAGTAGAGCCCCGCTTGTAAAAATATCGTGCTAATGCAGACGAGATATCTCGCGCTTAATATCGAGTTTCGGAATCCGTTCAATTTGAAGCACGGTGCTCGTTTTCAAGCGAGATGTTTGTTAACGTCAGATGCGCAGGTTTCCATGACGTAGACGATCGCGTGGAGTATACATTTTAACACTTCATTTATCAAACGTTATTATTTGTTAGAGGAATTGAAAACGGTATACTTCCAGCGAGCTTATTTCTCGATACCACATCCCTGCTATCCATTTTTATTGCAACGGGGAAATGTTGAAATTATTTTCGCGCAAAGTCTTAGTTCGCCAATTTCAATATGTAATTATAATTGCATACGCCACATACGTGAGACGATAATTTCTTATCAATATGTCAACGATCTCGATAATTTTAATTTGCTGTCTTATTGATAATTTACACGTTGTTAAATGAAACAACGAGGATATTTCCTAGACATCTTGCACAAATTATATTCTTCTCGCAATTATTAATTTGCATATTGAACAAAATTCTCACTAGGAAAGAGCTTATTCGGCAGAATTATTCTGAAATACATATGTACATATACATATGTATCAATATAATTTTAACTTGCTGTTGCTATCTTATTGATAAATTTACGTGTTGTTGAATGAAATGACGAAGATATTTCCTCGATATTATGTATAAATTTTTATTTCTCACAATTATTTGTATATTGAACAAAATTCACACTATTTGGCGGAATTATTCTGAAGTACGCGCGGGCAGTTTGATAAGTCAATGATTTTTTAAAAGGAAACTATGTTGAAAAATAGATTGAAATTTTATTTAAAAAAAAGTTTAAAAAGTCACTGACTTATCAAACTGTCCTCGTATATATCAATAAAATTTTAATTTGCTGTTTTGATAATTTACGTGTTGTTGAGTAAAATGATGACTTTAATATTAAATAAAATTTTCACTAGAAAAAGAATTTTTCACTTATCTGACAGAACTGTTCTATAAATATATATATATATGTATATATTAAAACCTCGTATTAGCGAATCTCGAATTAGCATATAAAATCCCTTCCATTACGCGCTAGACGCATGTGAGTAGCGGTAAAACCTTTAATAGGACCCATTTCATGGTTTAGAAGTGAAGCGGATACAACTTTGTTATTACGTTCAGAGCTTCACGAACTATTAAGAGATTTCAGTATATATGTATATTTTAGGACAGTATTATTATACGAAAGAAGAGGCAGATTGACGTAGGATTGACGTTGAGCAGGAAGTCTCCATTTGCAAACGTAAAAATCTTGAATAATGATCAGTATATAGCATAAAATTTCAGGATAATCAAATATTCGATCGTCCGCCGACGATCGTTAACATCAAGAAAGAAAATATCAATAAGAGAGGAAGTTTGGTGAGTCCAGATCGCACTGGAATCGCGAATTTATCCGGCACGCGATGGAGGGTTCCTCTTCGCCGCGCGCTATAAAATCGCATTCGCCAGAATGTCATTAATGCGATTATATACCACCGTGATGGGAATTCGTTAAATTTGTTAATGCCCTATTACGGGGAACGCCCGTACGTTTTATGGCAAATGGTGCAACGACCCGACGCCAACGTCCGACATTCCTCTCGGATACAACGCCGGCTGGTTCAATGCACGCAGCGAAAAGGATCCTCTTCCCGAGACGTCTCGCCTCTCGTCTTCGCTAACAGTTTTTGCGCTTTGTTCCCCGAGTAGCAACGCCCATCGCAAAGACGAAACCCATTTCGTGAGCTGAAAATCCCGAGTATCCCGACAGACGTTCCCGATTCTCTCTCTACGACATTTGCGTATCGCGTTATAATTCTTACGACAGCTTCGCAGTCCTCGCGCGTACCGCATCGTCTATGCATGTACTTTATGCTAATATCCGTAATGGAGAAAGTTTCTGATATCGTGAAAAAGCGTCTGACCTGGAGCACTCAGGCATGAATTTTACGGTGGCGCTAAATTAACGACGGTAATATATAGTCGTACGCTTAACTTGAAATTTTTATAGTTTGGCGCCATGCGCTTCGATGCGATAATGCGATAATTTAATCTCGCTTAATATCGGCAATTTAATTTAATCCATGTTAACATAATAAATTCATTGGATTTAACGTAATAGCTTGACCGAAAAGTCGAATATACGTTTGCACGTAAAATTTATATCGTCGGTTTACACACCTACACGCACATGTTTACTCGAATGTGTCAATGAAAGCGTACGTTTTCGAAATATTTGTCTATGGCTAACATAGCTTATTTTCATATTTTGCAGTTACAAGCTCGTGCCGTCGCTGCGGCTACGCGAAAGTGGTCCATCTCGTCCTTGAAAGGAGTAGAACGGCTCTCTGTGCGGACCACGTTGGCTGATAGCTATCGAATGCAGCAACCCGATTCGGCATACAAGTCGCAAGGATAGATCTATACCATAGGATGCCGTTTATCGGGGCAATGAACGTGCGAGGCAGCTAGCCAGCGGGAAGACAGCATATATAGCGGGAGGACACGCGAATCGAGAATTGCGGAAGCAAGGAGGATATCCCGGAGCGCATGCATGCTGTCGATGACAGCAGGTACCATTGTCAGATGCAACGAGGGAGATTCTGCGTGTTATGCGTGCCGACGACGTGTATATATGTACGTGTGCATATATGCATATAAGGGAGGCAAGGGCGGTGCGGAAGGCACCGCGTTGGAAGGCAACTCACCCACGATGTGAAACCACAGGAGGATTTTCAGTTCCATGGATACTTCTGTCGCTCGTCGCCGTCGACGTGTCTCACTAGGGCTGTCTGCGATCCTCGCTCGTTGTCCGTCGTCGTCGCGTCGGACACGTCTCTTCGCATGTCGTTGGAGAGGCTCCTCTCCGCTCGTTCTCTCTCTCTCTCTCTCTCTCCTTCTCTCGCTCTCTCTCTTTCTGTCGCCTCTTCAACAGCAGCAGTAGCATCAACAGCAACAGCCAGTACGGCGTCTGTGTAAAAGGATACGCACGGAAAGCGAGAACGGTGGAAGCATAATCCTCCGCGCGTGCGGTACGTGAGCCGAGTGGCGTTGTGTACGAACGTGGATTTCTGCGTGACTCGATTACGGGAATTATTCCCCGACGGAAGAGTATGCGTGGCTCGCCGAGCCCGGCTTCTCTCTGGTGGTGCACGGCTGGCTCCGTCGCTGCTGGAACCCCCGTTTGCGTTTCGCGCAGAATCAATTTCCTCGCGAAAACGACGACGGCGCCGGCGACGCGCGCCGCGAGTGCGCGAGCGTGACCGCGCGAAACCGCGCCTGCGTCTCCGCGTCGTTAAACGTGTCTTAGCGACGTGTGTACGTGCAAGAGCCGTACTCACACCTACACGGACGGAGCGACACGCACCCCCAACGTCGTCGTGCTGCGGGGGTGAATGTGCGTACGTACGAGTAAAATCTGGTCCACCGATAGATTCCGAACAACTCCGAGTCGGCCCCGATAGGCCAGTCTCCCCTTTCCGCCCCCGCGACACCCCCCCCCGTCCCCCGACGCTCCGCGTCGCGGCGTTGTTCTCCCTTCCGTCCTTGCATGTGTGTTTTGTGTGTATGCATTCGCAGGATGAACGCACTCCTGCTACGAGGCGGGCGGTCTTGTCACGATGTGTTCCCTTCCTCCTTTTTCGAGATATACCGCTATCGATATTCTATCAGACCACCTATCTGGATATTCGTTTGTCTATTTGCAGGTCTAGCTGTTCTGTACCGCTTTGTTTTACTTGAATAACTATATATATGTATATTCGCGCTGAGACAATACTGCTCCGCTCCTTATCCGGAATGTCTCTTCTACCAAGTTTTGCCTTGACAGGATAAATTACAACGAATTGCAATTACTTTCGCAATTAATTGTTTTATGTCATTATTTAATATTTAATAGTGTAATTACTTTTTATACATCTCTTATAAGTATTCATATTGACCCTTGTATAGATTTATACCTTTATACGTATCTTTGTAAATTTATATACATTTAATTCTATTTTAAGAAATAAATAAAAATGATTAATAAATATAAAATTATAAAATAAAAATTTAAACGAACGAGAGGACCGATTAATCTGGAGTTTGTTCATCCATTTGCTTAACGGTATTGTCTTCCTGCTATTCCTGTTACTATTTCTCGTACAACGGTTAACGTAACACTGTGACACAATGAACGAGACTTGTCTACGGCATAGATATTGTTCAGCTTTTATCCTCCAGAAATATGTGTGGACATAACTTATATGAAGAGTATCATGTACAGGGAGTACGGATATCCACGATTATTTATCGCTGTCGCCGACTCCGATGTAATACAAGAAAGTAGAATGAACAGGGGCGTATCGTAACAACACAATTGTGCTTGCGTAAGTGCGTCGGCGTGGTCCGCCGTCCGAGACGTGTGTCTGTGCGCCGATTGCATGACGTCGCCATTAGAAGGCACAACTACGGCGGAGCTGGACGATAACTCGCAATCCCAAATAACTTCCGATGGGGAACTTGTTCGATTCCCAATGCAGCCGGCGACTTACGTAATATCCATTCTCTCCCAGGATTATCAATTTTAATTAAAACGAATTTTCGCCCCTTCCTCCGGCCGCTTTCAGTCCCAGCGTCCGCGACCAATTATGGCGAATTAAAACTAATTCGAAATAATCTTCAAAACTTTTCGCCGCCTCTCAGTTCAGTGGCCTTTCATCGGCCTTATCGCCCATCATTCGCACGTTCTCCGCGAAATAAACTCGACCGTAAATCCTCGTCATTCGCCACGTCCCAATTTATATTCCGACTCCTCCTCGCCGGGAATATAAATAACTTTAATCATCATTGCATCTATACTATAACGTACCTGCACATGTCCATTAAATAGCATCGGCGAATGAATACTTGTGTCGCTGCCGGGCGCACGCGACACATTTACGTCGTGGAATTTAAATTCATGCCGGACACTTCGCATACGTATCCGTTTCCGAATAAACTAATTACTGCACACTCGCGCCTCACCACCTGATCGAATTACCCGTGATGCGTCAAACTGGTAAATTTCCGCGCGATAAACGTTCCGTCGTAAGTAAATCCCGTCGACGCGAGTGAGCGAAAATAGTATGGTTACGCTGTACCTTTGACGGCGTGCGGTGAGCAAACGATCCTTTCGCGAGGTCTTGTTTACGCCGCAATAAACCTGAAAGGTCTCTGGTGAGATGCAGGAAGATGGATGGTGTAGTTTCAGCGCGGTGGTGCGACGGGCCTCGCTAAAATGCACCTGACTGTGGACGACGAACGTAAAAGAAACCTCATCGGCAAAAGGGAAGACGACGGCTAATCGCGAGGAAAAGTTCGCGAGCCCTGCAAGACCAATTTCTCCTTTCATTCCGCATCCGGCGCACCCATGATGTTCCCGGCGATGAAAATGAATAACGGGATAAGGAAAATCAACGGCAGAGCGATCTCATTTCGGATTCATAGGTGCACGATCGCGCGAATGAATAGCAGCTAATTAATATACCCATTGGCGCTCGGCATCTGTTTAACATCTTAATTGGTCTGTTCGACTTGCTTACACTTTTTACACTCACCATCTTCGTTTTCTCTCTTTTCAGCGCCAAATATATATCTATCTCATTTTAAGTGTAAAACGTGTAAAAAAGTGTAAGCAAGTCGAACAGAGCTAATTATGATCCATTTGAGTTTTCGCGGAGTTACCGTCGCGCGATAACTATGCCGATCGTCAATTCATCATAAAATCAATCTCTGCTGGTTTTTCCATTCGTCATATTAGCGATTTCGGCATAGATATATCCAGGAGGGGATTTAGAGAATTCAAACCACTCCCGGAATTTTTTATTTGTTTTTTTTTTATTTTTAATTATAAACAATACAATTATATACTTTAACGCTGAATAATTTTTTGTTATTACATGAAATTCTTTTCTCTTCTCATTATGATCATGTAAGTAATTTCCAGTTAATTAATGTTTGGACAATGTCCGAATATGCACTGAGATATTGAGTACTTTATTCATCGCTATACATTTCGCTTTTGATAATTATAGTTTGCCTATACTTTCTTCAGGAAAAAAAATAAAAATTATGATTTACAAAATCTAATAATATTCCCATTCAAAATCAGGAACGAGAATGAAAAACATTTAAGTTATGAAATATTAAAAAAGGAGTGTCAATTTTGTTATTTCATATCTAAACAGCAATTTTTTGTATTAATGAATTTTTTAATATTCTAATTGCGGTTTAGATGTGAAATAACAAAATTGATATTCCCCTCCCCCTTGAAAAAAAATTTGTAATACGCCCATGGATTTCAAATATCGACATCACCGATATTGTTAGTTCTGAATGAAAAGAAAGAACGGAAGAAAAAAAATTACATTGCCGATCATGTAATCGGCAATTGTAATTCGATATGGCGCGTTTTGTTACGTTTTATTACATAACAAAAAGTAAACTCTATTTGTAATATCCCTTATAATCGGCGTCTCAATAAATTCTAGCGCGAATATACGTGACTGGAACGGCTGATTGCGTAATATCCATTAATCCCAACGACGAGAGGGAGGAATTGCGATTGAATGAGTTAACGAACTTGAACCTTTTACCGTGTATAAATAAATGCGAAAGTATCCACTTATGCCTGACCGTCTTATCTATCTTCATATCCGCGCAGATCTTTGAAATCATGAAGATTATATAAATAGCGTCAATATCTGAGATAGACTCATTAATATACAATGAGTGGACGGCTCGTCGACATTCTTCCAACATCGCCAATAATATACGAAAATTTTGGCGACGTCTCGTCGCCTCGACGCCGATAATATCGAGACGAACGCGAGAATTCATGCAAGTACCGTTACTTTAAATGCTCTCCGCTTCCTCTCGCCACTTTTCCCTCGTCACGGCTTCCACGCCACCCTCGTGGAATCTCTTCGCGCACCCTCGTTCACTACTTTCCGCACTAGGGAACGGAAAGCAGACGAGGGGCGATGGAGCGGCCCCGTTAACGCAGCGCTGACCGAGCCGGGCAAGCGTCGTTATACCTCTTTCAAATCATCGAGCGATGTACGAGCATCGTCGTGTGCGGTATACCTTCTAAATAACGTAACAGCATATCCGCGCTATGTTGTTCGCCAGGGGATATAAGCCAACCCTCTCCAATCTCGCCGGTAATAGAGACGAGAAATAAGACAAGCAAAATTTCGATTTGACGTACTTTTGCGACTTTATTAAATTCAGAACGTTCTTCGAAAATAGGAACACAGGCAGCGCGGAAATATGGTGGAAAAGTCATCGCTGTTACATTCCCCGTTGGATTCAATACAATTCAAAGATGTAATAAATATAAATAGTAAGATCTGACAACTTTGGGTCTCTGACCTTACTGCAAGTTTTGCATTTATTTTTACATTTTGTATTTTGTTGCAGAATTAGAAATACATATTTAATAAATTTATATTTTTGAGCCTTGGAATGAAAAATCACCGGAATTACAAGGATATACAATTGCCAGTATTACAGATGCATGTCATTCTTTAAAAAGTTCAAGTAGATGATTTAAAGGTGCTTAAGTTGGTAGGTGGGATGCTTAAAATATCAACTCAATATAATAAATTTTAATTTTATAATTATACTTTTTTACTAGTATATTATATTATAGTTAAATTTACATTAGTTATATATCCTTATAAGATAGGGAAGTATAAAAATATTGAATTTTAAAACTTCTAGACGATACTTTTTATTTTATTTTCCAACAAGGTTTTAAAGAAAACTATGCCCGAGGTGCTGTAGCCATCCCATCTACGTATTTAAAATCTTCATTTTTTGATACTGCAAGTCACGTATATGAAAAGTGCACGTAACATACAGTTATACTCATGTTATATAACTGAGATGTAGCTTGTATGCAAGAAGGATTGTTGGCACATGCGATTACGTGAATACATGTCTATTGTTGTTTCACTTACGCATTTCCCGGCGAAAATAAAAGTTGGAAGGTAAGTCGAATGCAAGGGGAAAGTAACGTAAACGAAAGAAGCGTAAACGAAGCTTCTGGGAGGCGAAAATTGAGACAACGAAACGTAAAAGAAGCGTAAACGTCTCTTTTAAGTATTGTTGTCTCAATTTTCGCCTTCTGGAAGCTTCGTTTACGCTTCTATTATTCTCCCCTCGCATTCACGTGACTTACACTTCAATTTTTATTTTCGCAAGAAATATACCAATACTATTCGCAACATCGTTTCAGCTGAAATGATATTCGAGTTTCTAATCGCGTATGGCGATCACCGAGAGATACAATCGTTAATATATGTACCCAGGCCGATCTGATTAAAAATCCACAGCGTTCATATTTCTCGGCCATATGCCGCTCGTCGACGTAGCTCCAGAATGCCTTTTAAATTATGGAGCACGGGGAATGTCGTATGTTATACGATTGCGTGCCCCGGTGCAACAAGCGGCCGTTCCCGGCAGGGTTGTTTGCGAACAACCCTTGCCTTACTTGTCTCATGCTGCCCGGCTCTATCCGGATGGGCGGTTATAACGCCGCCCAGGTCCGGGAACGATACCCAGCAGGCTAATTTCAGGATAAGCCGTGGTAATGCCGCGTACAATCGTCACGCAGCGTGCGACGGCGCGAGGGTGAATTCGGAATCCAGGCTGCGTCTGGCCGACCGATGTGACTTGGATCAATGCTACCTTCTTCATTAGAGCACCATTCGACCGACGCTTGTCAGAAATATTAATGGCGGTGAAATTACTGAAATACAGACGGATTTCGGTACACGCGAAATCACAGATTAATTTGGAACGATCGCTATCCGTCAAGCTTCATCGAGGTCTTATCTGTCCGGTCGTACTTTTCACTTCACCGTTTCTTCCCGGTGGAGAGAAGGGAAGCACGCTTGTTTTTTTTTTCTACGACGCGAAAATAATGTCGCGATTACGAAGTCGAAAAACGCGACTTCAAGGTTGCACGTGGCGTAACGAAAAATCAATAACCGCTAGACATGAACGGCAAATCAACATGGGACAAAGCGGGTAGATGGCGAGACAGAAAAACAGAAAGAAAACAGATACGTTCTCCTGCTACCCGTTATTTTGCTTCTGTTTTTATTAATAATAAATTCTGCAATGGACATGGGAATGATCTCTTTATAATGAAAATTTGATGAAGAAGTCAAATCGCAGAAGAGCACATGCAAAATTTATGATATTTTGACAAATAAAATGAAATATGAAATCTTGTTTGTAGTTAACGCCAAGTGGATATAAAGAGATTTGGTGCCGGTAGAAATTTGTGAGAGATAATGGTCTCGCTCGTGAAATGGCATGAAATATTTATAAAGGAGAAATCGACCTAATAAATCTTTTAATTTATCAATGGTGGAAGCGACGAAACGCTGCGCGTCAGAATGGAGAGATGGAGTAATTTTTCCTTTCAAGCGATTTACATCACTTTTATCGTCTCACTGCAATTGCCCCATTGGATAGCGCGATAATGTGGTGTCCTAAATCAAACTGTGTGCGTTGCGGACTACCTTCATCGCACACGAAATTCCACGTAAAGGAGCGGATCGTTTTTTATCATTTCGTTGCTAATCGTGCCTTATCATTGTACAAACAACCAATTCCCCGTATGTTGGCGTATATGTACAAATAACAGCGTTATACTGTTTTGATCCTGGTTTTTTGGTCGAATGTGACTCCTTTTATTGATCCAACGAAGTAGCAGATTCGTCGACACGCGATGATGCGCCGATCAGATCGGATCGCACACGACTCTAAGACAGATAGGTTAATTATATATAGCCGTGCATCGCTATGGAAGAAAAGACGAGCCACCTCCCCGTGCAGCACAGAATATTTCTAGGATATTTCATGTACCGTACAATTTTTTTTTAATGTGTTGATTGAGCATAGAACATTCTTAAGTCTCCAAAAATTCTCTTGTAGCCCAGTCATGTACAACTTTTTTTTAAATTGCGGGCCATTTTTAGATGTGAGATTTGTATCTAGTTAAATTTATAGAGATTCCAGCAAAACCATTCTTTCTGTGCAACAGTTACAAAAAGAAACATTCTGTTGAATGCGGAACGTACGCGGCCGGCTATTACAACATTGCTGCAATGTTGCTGGAATGCTTTGAACTGCATGCATGGGTTCGGTATTTAAAATATGCGCCGGCATTTATAAACGCAGCGATCGGACCAACGATTTTTACGTCCCGGTGGATTTGCAGTCACTACGCGACAATGTACGGCGCCGAGGGGCTTTCGTAAGTCGCTAGAATGGATCTTGATAAACGCAGGGCAGTTGTCGAGAGGTACGTATGAGGCAGAAGATAAGCGCGAGAATTAAAGTAGCGAGGGTTAGGCGAAGGGCGAATTGTGCGCGCCATGCGCCTCTCTATCGTTCCGCAAACAGCAGAGCCAGCCTTGTGAGAATCATTTGTCAGGCAGAAGCTACTCGATGTCCCGATAATTTTTTATTATGCAAGTAGGCCGCAATAAATCCTTATCTAACCGCATTTCCCGCCGCGCACGTCACACGAATGTGCTGCCTATCGTCGCGTTGCGGCAAAAAGCGCGACCCGATTAGAAATTCGCCGTGTCGGCGTTGCTGCGATAATTCTGGACGATTCCCTGTGACGATTGATACACGTGTCGCGGGCGTCACACCGGAACGATGTCGGATGATCTTTCGCGCATACACCGAATTCCGGCGAACCGGCCGCGCGAATCCGCGGCGGTATCGAGCGACGCCGGCATATCCATCCATTGAGCAAGGTCAAGGCCTCCGAGACTCGGCGAATGATGCGACTGACGCGTCTCTCCGATTTAAGATCGGCGTCAGTGAAGGCTTCGCGCGGCTGTCGCCGAGACGTCGAGACGCCGGTATCGCGGCGCCCGCGCTGCTCCGTGAAAATGGAACGGAACGCGTGTTACGAGCGGACAAGCCGCAAGTGCTCGCTCGTGTAAAGAAACACCAATCGGCGAAACGTACTTCGCGGCTATTCCGGAACTACCCTCCCACGAGGATGTGAGCGCGAAAATTGAACGGCGCACGAGAACGACGGTACGCTGAGGCATCAATCCTTGGGGCAGCAGCGCGATATCCGTGTAAAGCTCGACCACAAACGAGCCGCGTAATAATCGTTGAGCGAGAGTATTTCTGCCGGGAGAACTTCCGCAGGAACGGCGCATCGGCGTAAACGAAATGTGAGGCGATGTGCCGTTCGACGCCGCTGTCGACCGAGGGTAGGTTATATCGGGGCGTCGCGTCGCGACGCCTGCGCGGGTTTCATCGACGATCAGCTGGCTGAAAGCTTCCGTCGTGGTGGGAAGCGATATACTTATGTGAGTAGCGGCGTGGAGGGATGACGGAAATAGATGAAGGAGAGGAAAAGGGACAGGAGATCTAACATACATCCATTATCGTCGCCGACGACGAGGGCAGTGCCGACGACGCCTATACACATTTTTGGCAGCGCTTCCCCGTTGCTCGGCGTTATCGGCATCGTCACCGTTACCGCCACCATCGTCGACGACGACGACGACGACGGTAGTGCGCGTCAGTACGCGGCCGTGCAGTGCTGCCGTATCGGTCGTTCCGACGCCGTCGCCGTCGGTCGATAGAGGCACGCCGGCGAAGGTGCGACGTACGTCAACTTCGATGAATCGCTCGCCCGTATTTTATAATGCGGCGCGCCCGTTATCATCGTCGCGCTTCCTGTCCCTCCACCACGTCGTCGTCCACGGGTCGCCGCGGCCGCGCGTCGACCAGACCTCGCTCTCACCGCCGGGTGACTCTGTAAAGACTTGAGAGCGTCGCGGTATTCGCGAGCGGCGCGCAAGACGAGCAGCGTCGCGCGACGAGCGACGAGCGACGCACTCGTTAACGTCCCCGTCATCGCCGCGTTAAGGGACGCGTCGTGCGATCAGTAAAATCGAATCGCACGAAGCCGGAAGTCATTCCCCTGTGCGGTTGCATTATAGGTTTTCTATTTGCATGGGCTGAGCCACAGACGGGTAAGAGAGAGAGAGAAAGCGAGAGCAGTCCAATTCCCTACTCCGAATCGGAAAGCAGCTTCTATCCTGGGATACGATCGCAGCTGTGTTTTCATTCGATCCCCGTACCGAGGGCGAGCATTCCTAACGGAAAGATATTCCGGCAGCATCTCTCGATACAGCTTCACGCGAGGGACATGGGCCTCCAGCAGCTGCTGTCATTGTAGCGCTCCACGTCTCGACGCCGAAGCGGTATGAGTCACACTTAATTATTGGTTTGACGTTTTAGAAATTTATTGCCGCGACACTTGTTATCCCTCATTTCGGATCATAGTAGCTGGATTATTCCGGACTTGGAACCGGTGGAACCGGGTCCATCCAGTTCTCACGCCGAGCCGATTGGCGTCCACGTTGAAACAATTTGCCTTTGTTTTCCTTGAGGATGTTACATTTGTACGATGTCATTACGAAGTTGAACATCGAAGCTGCTTTAGCTCTCGAATACGCGAAACCGCAAGAAGAAAATAACAGAATTATCATCGAGAAAAAAATGTTCGTATAAACAGGTTGCGCAAGAGAGGAATTTTCCTGACAGGAGAAGGCTTCTGAAAACGCTCCATCATCGTAGATCGGTGTATGCTGTTGTACGTGACCCGTAGGACGATCACGTTATAGAGACGCGACGGTGTGTGATTGCACTCGGAGGGTAGCACGTCATCGAATAAACCGCCCCTATCGCTGCTACACAAGGATCAGGGGAATCAATCGCGGGGAGCCCCGCAGCACGTGCGAGCGTGCTCGTCGTCGTGGCGGTTCTCTTCTGATGGTACAACGAGTAAAAGTAGTGACTCACCGGCGACGGACGAGCGCGGACGACGGCGCGGATCGTCCACGACAGAAGCATCGTCGTCGTCGTCGTCGTCGCGCCGCGTCGAGTGCACCATGGGTCGCCTCGCTCCGATGATCATCCCCGCGCTCCTCCTTGTGGTCCTGTGCTGTCCGGGATGCGGCCGCGCCAATTTCGCGCTTTTCCGCGACCTGAGATCCGCGGAGCGGATCCCGGAAGAGAAACATCCCGAGTCGCACGGACCGCAGATCGACGCCGGCGACCTCCACGACGATCTGTACGGCGCTTACCCGGGTCTGGGCTTCGGGCCTATGGGCCCGGTGATCCGCGCGGCCCTCCCGAACGACGCCACCCTGCGCAGCCTCTCGTCGGCGAGCAGCGACGATGCCGGACAACGGAACATCCCTAAGGAATTGCAGCTCGCCTCGGCGCGCTCCGGCGATGACGCCGCGGTCGGCGACTCCTCGAGCGGCAACGAACATTCGCCGAAACCGGAATATCGCATCGTCAGCGTCGAGTTCACGCGCGTCGAAACGCCCTTTCTCATCGGGATTTGGATCTTCTTCGCCAGCATCGCGAAAATCGGTAAGTGCTGGGAGTGTGAAAGCTGATCTTAATTTATTCTTTTTTTTTCTTCCTGTTGTTGTCTTCGAGAGAGGATGCGTGTAGGCGTAAGATCTCAGCTTTTCTGAAACGTACCGTTTAACGTAAACAACAGTGTTTGCAGTGTTTAAGAATGAACTTATTATAGAAAACGACAAATAGATATAACACGTGCAATAAACATTTGCGATAAATCAAGTATGCTCTTAAATGAAACGATATTCATTCAAGAAAGCAAATATCTCATGAGAGACTCTGTATCTTCTTCTTTATTTGCATCGATGATGCAGCAAATGATTATTTACCAATGTGTACTTCAGAATCATTTTTTATAAGATTCATATCTACAAGTATAAAAAATTACGTGAAATACGCAAGTGTTATTTCTCGTTATAAATTTAATTTGAGCTTTGTTTCTTAACGAAGAGAAAATGATATAAAGATTTATAATAGACGAAACATTCTGAAAATATCTTTTTATGCCATATCCATTATACGTATAATTAACCGTTTTAACTTGTAATAACATGCTCGACAAAATTGGAAACAGTTAAACAATACAATGTACGTAATATGATTATTTCAAATATTACGATGGACAACGTGTTATTTGAAAATTGTCATGTTATGAACACACTCTGCCTCTATTGTTATAACCGAAAACATCTGTCGCAATTTTGTTATCCGCCTGTGCACATCAGGTTGCATCAATTTTCACGATAGTGACGCTTTTCGATGAATACATTAGCGCACCTATATTTTTCCGTTTGCTTACATAACAAAACCTGGCAAATATCATTGAAAACCGACTGCAATACTCGTTACGTTATGCAAGGCTCATTACCCTTTTTCGTTACGGCGAAATTTGTTTTTAATAATTTCTCACGAATGAATAATAAGTGGGCGAGTGCGAACCAAAAAAGCTGTTATCGTACTGAAAATACCGGATAAAAATTCGTGTCTTAACAATCTCTCCCTCTATGATTTGTTTTTTTTTTGGTGTAAATTAAAGGAATAAATAACAAGTTGTAATTTGTTAAGATACGAATTTTTATTCGATATTTTGCATAAAACATTCGTGTGCAAGCTTGAAAAATTGCTGGCGCGGCAGAAAAGCCACGATTTTGCATTTCAGGATGCATAAAGATGCTCCAGCACTCAAAGACTCAAGAGTGTAGTGTCTTACGATAGTATTTCACGATGCACATAGATTCATTTTAGTGTGCGCGGCGCATGATAAGCGCCGAATGAACTCGAACGTTCGCATTCCATTTACTGGATACCCGGTTCGAGCAATACGAAACCCGATGGACGCGCAATTTTTCTCTCCGTGCAATTTCACTCGCGTTGCACCACGTTGCACGCTCGCGTGGATACGCAAGCACGCAGTGAGGTGGTTGAAGAAACAAACTGTTCCGCTGATATTTCTGTTCACCTGACGGAGGGGTGATAAAAGTCACAAAAGTGAACGAACGGGCAAGAATAAAATACACCTACCTACATAAAATTCATATACATCGGTCGCACAAATATCTTGACGGGACATAAAAATTTACGTTTGGCAAAAAGAATATTATATCGTAGTGGATAAATAAAATAGCAGATTTTTTTTTAATACCGTTAATTGCGAGTTTCCATTGATAATAATTCACTGTATAATGCGATCAGACATCCTGCTTTCGATAGGACAATCCTGTCAAATATTTCAAAATATGAATCTATAATACTGCACTGAAAAAAAAATATCCTAAATTTCAATAAAAATTTATTTGAATAGTATTAAATAGAATTAAATATTTATTAAATATAAAAATATATTTATTTGGTACAAAAAACATTAATTTGATTTAACAATCACTTCTTTTTATTAAGTAAATATTTATTTATTGTAAGTAAATGTTTAGTTGGTAGTATTCAAATAAATATTTATTTAAATTTAGACTATTTTTTTCTCAGTGTAGAATCTACGTAATAACGCGCGATGCGGGGTTCTGAATGTAATAACGAGATCGTCCTCACTTCACTTTTAACAAGAGAATCTCGCGAAGTGACAAATTCTGATTTTAAAACTTTTATATCAATAATATTTATAAATGAAATTTTTATATCAATATTTATTAAAAATAAATTCTTACAAAATTCATGTTTAAAATTATTTTTTTTTAATATTATTGACGTAGATAAATAAAGGTAATTTTATTATAAAACTTTTGTATTAGACTTTTTTATATCCAGCAATTTTTGAGATATATAACGAAAGGAGCTGAAAACTACATAAGAAAGAGTGATTTCATCTCATAAAATCGTTTATTTGCCGCTAATGATACTTTCTAAATTCATCTATGTAAGCTATAAGTATACAAAGTTTTATCAAGATCTGAATTCGTGAGATTTCCTTGTAAATCATAAAATTCAGGGTTGTATTGAGGGACACGGTTTTACCGCTACTCCACTCACATAGAAGGGATTTTTGTTATTTCGAGGTTCGCTATTACGAGGTTCCAGTGTACTACTTTTTAAAAATAGATTGTTATTATCGTATTTATCTTTACATCCTATATATTCTTCCTATCCCCTGAACATAAATTTGTCCCGTTTTGAATTCGAAAATATCTAGCCAGACTAAACTTGTTCCACCATAACGTTTAGCGGCTCATTCGTCGTATTACGGGTTATCCACGAGCGAGGCGAAGATTCCATAGAGAATATCGAACAAGATACATAAAATATTGAACACGTTCTCGAACGGATACATCGTACGCGATACAGCACGACACGCGCCAACGGAACTTTTCGCGAGCGAGAGATACCACGTGCCAGGCGTGAAGAAATGCGTAGCACACGCGACACGTTGCACCTGCCAGACACTCCGTTGGAATCTTCGTTGCCGTAGAATGCTATACATTTTCTGTCACGGTTAATTCTCCGATTGAGGCCGATTTCAATGATTCTGACTTCCGACGTTGCAGACTGCGGATTATTCTCACGTTTCTCTGCGGTTGGTCGGGATCTGAATTCCGAATCAGAATTGTAAAGATTAGAGTGGTCCTACTTAGAGATCTTATAACAGAGCCTGACCACAAGCAATTTCGTCAAAATCTTACTAGAAAGGTACATACACTGAGAAAAAAATATTTTAATTTCAAAGAAATATGTCTTTGCTCGTATTCAAACAAATTATTACTTTGGATCAATGAAAATAATAATTTGTTGTTTAAATACGAGCAAAGAAATATTTCTTTGAAATTAAAATATTTTTTTCTCAGTGTACTTTCTCCTTGTATAATATATTTAGTTTGGTATACATTAAATTGATCCAAGCGAAAAATTTATACGCGTCCTTTTTTACGAACACTATCTTTTTATAATATAAAAATCTAATTTACAAATAATGATAAAGGCAAATATACACTATGATTATCTTTTGTTAATTTTGAGGCTCCCACGGTTACTTCGTATAAATGAGCTATGCGTTACCGGGTCATCTCTGTATCTAGATCCATTGTTAGAATTCCAACGTTTCGTGAATATTGTAGTTCACTTCATCAGGGCAAGGAACAGCTTGATACTATCCACTCGTATCAAGCTGCTCTTCGCTCTGATGAAGTGAACTGCAATGTTCACGAAACATTGGCATCTAATAATGGATCTATAGATATCTGCGAAACACATAGCTATCTTTTATACAATATTTAAAACTATAATATTTGTACACTAAATATAAGCTCTTATTGATATTTAGATATCACAGACATATTAGAAAAGTTTATACGGATTGTGAGTTTTTAGATCTAGTATGGCGAAATAAGTAGCAAAAAAAGTGTGATAACAAAGGATTAATTAAATTAAAAGAAGAAATACATATATCTTTTTCTCTAGTAGGATTTTGATAAAGTCACTCGTGACCAGACTTTGTTATAAGTTAATAATAAAAGTGTTGAGAAGGGTTACGAACCATAAGAAGACAATATTTTAATTGAAGATATAATATAATTAAGAAATGAAACAATAATACACAAACGGCGTTTCGAGCCCGATCGGATCATTCTCAATGTTATTACAAAGTGATAAGTATATATATATAATTTAAAATATGAAACGGTTTAAAATTGATGGATAAAAAGATAAAAAAAAATATATGTACAGACTTCTGATAGATGTAAACTGGTCATAAGATCGCATCCTGTCGTTATTAAGTTGATGTTACGTCCAAAATGCTGTAGCGCGTATCATTAGATGTCAATATAAAAAGCTCTGTTTGACAAAGTTATTGTGCGTAAAAATATTCGTTATAAATGTATCGCAATTATAAGTATCAATTCAAGGTCTTTAAATTTATCAAGTATATTATAGTATCCAATAATAAAAAATCCTTAGTATCTGTCCAAATACTAAAACTTTTTATATCGATAGAAGTATAAAGGTATTTGTGAATTGAAGCAATATTGCGAAGACACGTCTTGATTATCAGAAGTACAAAGTTTGTTATAAGTCTCCTCTTGATGATTGAACTGACGATTAATGATTTTGACATAACGATTGGCGTCCAGGTTTCCACATGGCGCCGAAGCTCAACAAGATCTTCCCGGAGTCTTGCTTGTTGATCGTCGTCGGCGTGATCGTCGGCCTGCTGCTGTTCCAGGCGAGCAGCGTTCACATTTCGCCGCTGACGCCCGACACGTTCTTCTTATACATGCTGCCGCCCATCATCCTGGATGCTGGCTACTTCATGCCCAATCGGCTGTTCTTCGACCATCTCGGGACGATACTCCTGTTCGCTGTCGTTGGAACTATATTTAATACGATGTCGATAGGTTAGTAAAACGGCGACAACACGACGCGACAACACTCGCTGGCTCGATCGACTGGGCGGCGGCGTTAAGACAATCTTTCGAGAGAGAGAGATTCTCGGATATTATTTCTTTTCCCTCGACGCGCACCGATCGTAACTCGGACTTCGTTTTCGCCTTGTCCACGCAAACCGATTCCGATTATATAGAAATACTTATCTACCCTCGGAATTAAGAAGCAATACTGTGAGTTAGATCCTCCGAGTGATTTTGAGCGTAAAATATCACGAAGTCAAATATAATCGTAACGTTAACTTATAACGATATCTGTATCAGAAAAAATCAGAAAACTTAAATTGTGATATCGTATTGCGATTTAAAATGAAAGTTTGGGTATCTCGTTTTCAATAATAATTAAAAATTATTTTTCCTGAGACGATGTTATACTTAAAGAGATAAATAAAACTTCCTACAGTTTAAAAGATTTCTCCTCATATATATTTGGTACAACTGCATTAAGCTGCTAACATCTGTTTGGCATCGTATCAAAAAGTGAAGCTTTATAAGAATCAAACTTTCACGAATTAACTGTTCACGTAGCAATTTTTCATATTTTTATATTCATCTTTTGAAAAATTCTAAATATGATTATCCAACTCAAAAATTTTTTAATACTATAAAACTATATTTTTAACTATAATAGACTTACGAATTTTAAGATTTGCAACAAATAAATTGCTGCAAAGGAGAAGAATAGATTTCAACTCTAATTTGCAGTCTGCTAAACAATCTGTTCTAACGCACGTTGATAAAAAAAATTCTAAAAAAAATTAATTAAAACTTTGAAAGTGTAATAAGGAGGTTAAACAAGTTGGTTGCGTACATTATATATGTGTATAAAGAGAAGCATACATAAATAAAACACTCCGACCATCCCCCGCAGACGGTGGAATTTCCATTCCTCACTTTTGCTCATGGTTTGTTCGCGATCTAGCGTAAGCGCAGATGTTCATCTTGAAAACGTAGAGAAAATGCGCGGCTTGAGAACGAAAATAGCGTGCGCGTCGAAGCGGATGCGCGGGGCAAGCGACGACGACGACGACGACGATGACGATGACGAGGATACCGATGATGATGACGATGTCGACGACAATAATGTACAGAGCACATGCGGCAATTGTCATCCCGACGCTATCATCCGCTATCATCCTCTATCGCAATGATAACGCGCGATTCGATCGTGACACCACGATAACCACAGATTTCACGCGAAATTGTCGCTATGACTAAAAGGGAAAAAGAGCGAAACCGACACGACATTTGACAAGGTCTAAGTTATTTAATGCTCGATAAAATCGCGTTAAAATAACGAAATAAGTTTAGATAGATACGTCGAACGTAAACGACGGACGTGATTATTGATTAGGATTGATGACCACATAAAAAGCTGTCAGTGCTATATTTTCAGGCTATTACTTCTTATCGCAAAAGACGCCAAGACTGTGTGCCAAAGTCAATAGCACTATAACGTGTTTCATAGTCACTGTATAAGCATTTATGGGATACAAAATAAATGTAAAAAGCACTTTCCTATTTCTCTTAATAAATAGAATGTTATTAATATATAATGTCTTTTTTAAATTTTTCACATCTGTCTGTTTTGTGATCTTTTCTATCTATTATTACACTTTAAATTATTTCAATATAAATTTTAAATCAAATTTTTGTTTAATTAATATTTATTTAATAACGTTTTTAGAAGAAATGTAGAACAATATGGCTGTAATTTTCGCAATTTTGATTTTCATTAAAATTCTGTTGAATATCGAAATTTAATACAATTTTAATTAATATACAAGCGAATATGTAGAAAAATACACAAACTTAAATTTATTCAAGAGACGCAAATATTTTGCGAATAAATGGCAAAGATGACTTTTAAAAACGATGCGAGGTAAAATAAAAGTGTGAGACGCGGGATCGTTACATTAAAATTTAATTATTTTCAACGAACGTTTGCCGTAACTACCGTGATTAGATCTAACGACATCCGATTAATTAAATTAATGTCTTAAGAAACTCGTGACCGAAAGAAAAGCTCTTTGCTTTTCTAAAACCGTACCACACGTAACTTTCAAGTAAGAAACGACACGGTAAGCATAACAACGGCAGCGATCGATAACATGAAATTATGGTACGATGTTAATTAATGTCCTATCGAACATAGGAATATCGGGATAGATTAAAAACTGACACTATTATTGTCGAGAAACCTTCAAAGGGTTTAATATCAAGAGTAATACCTTTCTTTCGAAAGGGAGGAAGAATGCAAGTACTTGATAGGTACGAATATAACACGCGGACGGAAAGCTGGTATTTGATAATGCAAATTTCTATCTTTGGCGACGTTGATCTTTCTTTCTCTCTCTTTCTTTCTCTTCTCGCGGTTTAACGTTCAGTGACTTTGGGGATCGATAGGATAATAATAATCTCGATAAATTGACGATTTATTCAGAAGTATTTAAAGCAGATTAACAAACGACATTCGTGACAATTAAGGCGAATTACAACTACGAAAAGCATTATGATATCAGATATTGGATCGCGTATTACCATAATTAAAAAACGCTATTTGCACTTTAGGTGCTTCATTATGGCTGTTGGGGAAAAGCGGTATATTCGGTTGCGAGACGCCTATCCTCGATATGTTCCTATTCTCGGCGTTGATCAGTGCTGTCGATCCCGTGGCCGTGCTGGCCGTCTTCGAGGAAATACATGTGAACGAGATACTCTACATCGTCGTGTTCGGAGAGAGTTTATTGAACGACGCGGTCACTGTCGTAAGTATTACATTATTTACATTACATGATGCTGCCCGTCAAGGAGTTTGTTGCGTAGGTAGCACACTGTGCTGCAGAAATCTCTGTCCTTTTGTTACGAACTATTAAAGGTCTTCGATACGTATAGAGTGAAGATTAAAGCCGATCAATCCTAATCACTCGGCGTCTGCGAATACGAGATATTTGCACGCATCTGATAGACAAGCATAAGAAGAAAAGTAGAATATACATGATTCTTTTTTTAAAAAATAATCATTAAGTGCATAAAGATACATCAAGTAAATTTTTATAATCACAATATGAAATTAAAAACAAAAGTATTTTTAATAAGATTATTAGAAGTTTTTAAAGAACTAAATTTCAAGTAAATAAATAAATCATAAAGACAAAAACACAGATGTGCATTTTTTTAGAAAAAATTTTTCAACTGTATGTATTATATTTTATATTAACGCGATCGCGAACTATCGGAATATAATCAACAATATGCCAAAGATAGATAACAATAACTATACAATAAAAATACATTTATGTTTGCATTAGAAACTGTCCACTTGAGTCATTAAAATTTTTTTTAATGTAAAATGTAAGTAAACAAAATGTATTAATTTAACATTATTATATATTATAAATCTTAAATTTATTGAAACATGTTAATTTAACACTATATTATAAATATTAATTTTAATGAAGAAATATGATTTCTTATAAATTATGTCAATGTTATGATCTTTGCGTTAATTTTTTACATAATATTTGTATTATTTTTTAACACACACTCATTTTGTGTATTAAATTAATATAAAAATTTTAGTGGACCCCCCCGTTTGAGACATGCAAAATGCGTTAAATTTAACACAAATTTTTCTGCGTACAACCTTTTTATGCGTCGCAATTATTACCGCAATTATTTTATGTATGTTATCGGTCTCTTGCTCTTTTCGCATTCGCTTAGAATTGACCCTGAAGTTGACGTAGATTAATACCCTCCTGTCTCTCACTCTCGCATGTCATATTTTAGAATATCTGATAAATAAACGAAGATAGAATATAGCGAAGCTTGCACATGATACCGCCAAACGACAAGCACTCGTCGGGCGAACGATCGATACAACATTGATCACATTGTCCATAAGCGCGAGTCAAGTATCAAATACCTTCGCCTCGCTTAAAAATTAACGTCATATTTGTTCGCGACCTGAATTTCTACAATCTGTAACACTTTGAATAAAAAAAACGATATAATCTAACCGCGTTTTGTATACATCACCGTTGCGACGACTCTAATAAACGTGTCGCCGACACTGGCGCCTCGACGGTTATTAATATCATTCATGCACAATTAACTCTTAAAAAATATCTGCAATTTAGTAAAGAAAAATATAACGTCGTAAAGTGCGGTGTTTCCACAGAAATTCATTTCGTTCCAATTTTATCTGTTACGTCGCAAGTCTGAATATCTCTGCAAATAGATCAACATCCCTGCACTATATATATTGTATATTTATATAATGTTAACCGTCCGAAAAAAATGTTCTGCTTTTGACGTAAAAATTGGGTCGTGCCAGCTAAGAATGGTAATGTGAAAAGGGTTGAGCCGTTAACGATCCGTCGCTTATTAGTTTCGTGCTGTTGCGAGGCGAGCGAAGGAAAGTGTCAGGGGTTACTGCAACGACCGAGTATAAAAGGCTATTTAATACGAATACGCAGGTGCTCTATCACATGTTCGAGACGTACAGCGAGATGGGCCCTTCTAGGATCATTTACACGGACGTGCTGTCGGGCCTAGCTTCGTTTTTGGTGGTGGCGATCGGTGGCACGGTCATAGGTATAGTTTGGGGTTTCGCTACTGGCTTCGTGACCAGGTTTACACATCAGGTGCGCGTGATCGAGCCGATATTCATCTTCGTGATGGCGTACTTGGCATACCTCAGCGCAGAGATCTTCCACTTGTCCGGCATATTGGCGTAAGTAAATCATCGACTTTTCGACATATCTCGCATTGGCATCTCCAGCCTCAAGACGCTCAATAATATAGAGAGTTAAGACGTTCCAATAATATACGTTTCAACAAATATATAATCGCTAAATCGAAAAATTGAGAGATCCCAGCAACTCACCTCTATGACAGTATAACGAACATTATCGAAACTGTTTAACCTTGATTATTAAATATTTATGAACGACGCCCGCGGTATCAATTTCAAGAATAAGTTACAACAACTTGTTGCGCTGATCCTATTGGCACGACTCTGCAGAAATTATAAGGAACTGAAATAAACGCCAAGAATCTACCGCGAAGGAATTAGATGGATCAATTTCGAATAGAGTTCTAAACAATACACGGCTTAATTCCCGCCGTAGTTAGGTTCATTATCGCGTTTACAAACAAGATTCTCAGCTTGCAAGCTTTAACTTTGTCGAAACAGCGATGATTGCCACGCTGCCTGCTCTGTAATTCGCGATCCCTTTATTCCAGAATAACCTTCTGTGGTATTACGATGAAGAATTACGTTGAGGCCAATATATCGCACAAGTCTCACACGACCGTCAAGTACACAATGAAGATGCTGTCAAGTAGTTCGGAGACTATTATATTCATGTTTCTCGGCGTCGCCACGGTGAACAATGCTCACAACTGGAACACGTGGTTCGTTGTCACGACGATAGTCTTCTGCTCCGTCTATCGAGCCGTGGGTAAGCCAGATTTTCTAATTTTATTCGATTGGGAAGGTCAGAAAAGGATTCCTCCTACCTACCGTTTGACGTTCTTTGAACAGCTATTACGAGATACACGAGGGATTACTGTAGGTATTTCAGTCGCAACACGCTCTTTCATAAGAAATTCAGATACTTGCACACAACTCAACTTTCTAAATTTCCTTATTTATTGTACAATTTCACGTTTTTTAAATTCAACTTTTAAAAAATATAATTTATATAGAATTTTTAACTTCTTTTCTGAATTAGCTGAATAAAAAGAAAATAAAAAGAAAATTAATCTGTGCAAAATTGTTGGCATGGAAAACTTTAGAAAAATATTTCAAAGAGGGGGAAAAAAATCAGGAAATGAGAAAAAGTAGCGTGATAATAGCGAATTCGTGTCGAGGAATTCTTACACGATCGCGCGGGCCTTGACCGGTCCAGTTGGATGGGCGTTAAGGGCATCGCTTCGCCGGCGAACGGAATGGCGTGTAAAGTGATATGGTTAAATGATGAAATCATAATGGGACTTAAGACAATTGACTCTTACTTACACGAATATCTTACGTCACTCGTAAGCGACGCGCTTCACTTATGGCTTCTTGTTCTAACCGGACAATTTGTCACTTGACTGTGTGGAAAGTGTGGAAAGATATGAGCAAGCCTGGTGTGAAACGACACGCATTCCATTAGACATGTTACGTCGATGCACTCAATGTTTCACGCCTTCATAGTAGACAATTGACAATCCCTCGTAATTAAATAAATCGATCAGGATTGTAACAAGATTGTAATAGATTTTTACGGAGAACCGAAGATTTTTATACAACGCTTTATAAATTACAAATGATAAATTCGAGAAAAAACAAATACACGTATATCAATCAGAAATATGGATTTTTTGAAAACTCTTCTTATCGTCAGCTGTATAATATTGTATCAATGCTACCCACTGAAGAATGATTTATTGAATCGACATCGATATGATTCCGATGACAATTCGATGTCTAATTGATGGTCATTTCTCGCTGGGAACACGTTTTTTTAAAGAGGATAGTACAGCTGTAATATCTCGCTCGGATTCATGTTCCAGGCGTGATAGTGCTGACAGCGCTGGCGAATCAGTTCCGGCTGCACAAATTGGACAAGGTGGAGAAATTCGTCATGTCCTACGGCGGTTTACGCGGCGCCGTAGCATTCGCCCTGGTGCTTCTTATAGATCCAAGACACGTGCCTCTGCAGCCTATGTTCGTCACTACCACTATCGCTGTTATCTACTTTACCGTGTTCATCCAGGTAGGATCACGATCATATGGCTGCGCACGATGCATGATCGTGACCGATCCATTACGAATTTGATGCGAGCACGAATGCACGTAAGCATTGCGTAACGACGGGTGTTTGCTGTGTTTGCGTGGTTTCTACGCGGAGTGCAAGATTGCAGATCTTGCTCGAGTAAATCGGACCGACCCAGTAAGCGACTTAGAGTTTTTCATGGAACCGATGACTCGCGCGTATTTTGAGACGACCGAAGTGGCACGCGTTTCGAGGGAGAGAAAGAGATACTATTTCATCGGAACGGCGCGGCGAGGAGAAAGAAGTGATTGCCCGTTAGAACCACGGATGATTGTCCGTTTAATCAACTCAAGCTCATTAATGAGCAGCGATACAAAGATGTCAGCCGCAAAAAAAAAGCTCGGCTCTGCACGTGTGCTTTGTCGCGCGATCGATCGGAAACCTAATATCTCTATGTCGCACACACTTGAGCATACACTTTTGCGTCAAGCGTTTTATCAGCCGCGCGTTACTTTACTCGACGTCGACCGATAATTCGCGTCGAGAACGAGTGTTCCCATACAGCACGTACATTTTATCCGAGAGACATCCTGGGAACGTTCTTAGGCACGTTTAGAGGACATAGGGACGTCCTCTGGACGTCTTTAGAACGCCCCTTGGAGGTCTGTGTTGCATGAGTTCGCTCGCGATGACGCTCATGTAAACGCGCTCCTATTTTTAGGGGATCACCATCAAACCTCTTGTCAAAATCCTCAATGTCAAAAGGGCGGAGAAGAGAAAGCCGACGATGAACGAGAGGATCCACGAGAGGGTACGTTGCGCGATCGAATTACTTCGTTTGCTGTCGCCGTAATCCGGAAATTGCGGGAAACAAAGCGCGATCGCAGAACCGATATAGATGTGTAAAAATTCGATAACAGGGAATTTTTGCAATACCGTTTATCCCAGATACGGTGAACGCTAAGGTCAGGTTATCTTCTTCCTAACAATTACAGTATGCGCCAAAAAAAAAATGCGACTCTCTTTTAATCACTATTATGTTTGCTGAGTGTGACACATTAACGCAGTGATTGTAATTAAAGGAAATCATATCGAATAAATATTTGGTAGAAGGACAAAATATTTATGTTATAATCAAATTTCCCCCCGTCCATTCACTTTATTTAACTAAACCAGCAACTGAAGTGTTAGTTGTGAGAGTCGCATTTTTTTTGACGCATACTGTAATTAAGAAAAGGATAGCGTGACTTTAGCGTTCACCGTATCTGGATTCACGTTATTGCAAAAACTCCCTAATATCACGTTCAATCGCTGATATATGACGATAACGGAGCCTATTACCTCGAATCCCAGTTACGACGTATTTCTTTTTAATGGAACGACAGAGCCGTACGATATGAAGAATAGGGTCGAACTGTGAAATAGGATAACGTTCGTCATTGTCAAGCCGTATTACAGAATGTGTATATAGCGGCAATTTTTACCGGGACTTTGATACATCATTCTGCTTGCGTTTGCGTTTGCCCGCGTACACGTGGCAAATCCTGGCGGATTTGTGACGCCCGCGCTGCTCGTCAAATTGATAGACAAATAACGTCTGTCTCTTAATTCTTAGATAATGGATCATACGATGGCGGGTATCGAGGACATTTTGGGAAAACACGGCAACTACCACGTCCGGGATAAGTAAGACGCTTAGTCATAACTTCGTGTTTACTCAATGCCGTTCGAACTGTCAGTTAAGAATCTATATGAGTTAGCGTAAAATAATAAAGAAAAGCAAGATTAAATTAAAAAATTTATATCAGAATTTATATCTTTCGTATATCTAAATAGAAGTACACTTTTTATAAAGATGAAAAGTATTAAATATGTATGATGTAGATTGTATTTGTATCATCTAATTATCGGAATGTTTTTTCAGTATTTTCTACTTACTCCTTCTGTCTTTTTCCCCAATAAAAATATTATCTGTGTTGGTTTGTTGTAGATTCAAGCGATTCGACAATAAATTCATCCGACCTTATCTCGTGAAAGATCATTGCGGCGCCGAGCCGAAGATTCTGGAAACTTACTCGAAGCTGGCGATGAAGGATGCGTTAGATTACATAAGAAGAAATGCCTCCACTATCGGCAACATTAGCGGCACCGAAAGTATGTCGGCGATATTCCGTAATTACAGCAATACCGGACAATTCAATGGAAGGTGCGGAATTCCTGTTGTTCACCGCCGACAATTGTCGTTGATAAAATAAAAGCGCATTCTAATCGCATTCTTTTTCTCTCTAGTCCCAGCTGCAGTCAGCTCGAAACGGGATGGAATATCGATCTGCAGGAACTGGAGTACAATCCTTCCAAAAAAGACCTAACGGACGCGAGAATCCACCATCTGCTCGCCGAAGAGCTTTGTAAACCATACAAAAGGGTAAGAGATTATGGTCGAGTCTAGATTTTCTCCAAATTCAAAGTCTGCTCGTGATATATGATCTATAACGTAATATATTACATGTAATAAAGTAGTAATCCCTCTATTATTAAATTTTTTAGCCATATTTTCTGACGAATTTTAAATCACACACACACACACACACACACACACAAAATTTATCTCGAATCAAAATATAATTTCTTGTGATTGTCTTATTTTTACTTTAAAATATCCTGAAAAATTTTTTTAATCTCATCCATTTGCAGGGCTCTTCTAATTTCCAAATCGATATTTTAGCACTTCTTTTGTCAAAGAAATTTATTTTAAATTCTCATCAAAGAAGCTATAATTTTAGAAAATAGATCAGTAGCATATTCTAATAATATTCTATTATATTTAAAAATATTGCATCTAAAAATTTTCTACAAGCATTATATATTATTTAGCATCGACGTTTGAGCTACAGTCGACACGCAGTGAATGATCGCGATCTCTCGACACAAGTCAATTACAAAATGCACATGAATATTCGACGGATGATGGGGGAGCACAAGCATCGCCACAAACGCAGCAAAAAGTTACTTAAAGTAAGAATCGATCAGCGTCTCGATCGTTTGTCATATTTAATTTCGACGTCTTTGACTTTCCATTTTATCGATTTCAATTGTATAGGATGGCAAACAGAATCACGTTAGTTTCCCAGAATTTCAACAGCAGAACGGCTCGACAAAGCTATTTACGCAAGGTACGTGCAAAACGTCGTGAATAATTAATTGCACTTCAAAGTTCCGTAATTTTTTCTCTTTTTTTTTTCATCAATTATCGTGCACAGATTACATCAATGGCGTGCTGTATGAGTTAGAAAACGGAGAAACCTCGAAGCCCTCCAGCAAAGAGGATTGGGATTCAGCGATCACGTTCACCGCGCGAACGTCCGGTAAGAAAACTTTTCTTTAACTTACTAAGTCGAATTGAACTGAAAAATGAGATTGAAGTTAAAAATATATAGGTATATCGACGAAATGCGACGATGAAAATGATCAGGATGTCTTGGTTTCTCTTATATAGAGAAGATTACATCTCTTACAATTTTTGTATATGTAGTTATTGAATTATCTTCTTGAAAAGAGTTATGACTAATAGAGCTTAAAATCTTTAAACGGAAGATTCGCCGAATGTAAACGCGGACAATCAACACGCTACCACCGCTACTACGTCGATGGACACAATAAATACGGACGAAGGAGACTTGAAAATAGGACGCGACGGTACGTTTTCAAAATGAGAAAAAGAAAGAGTTCGAGCATTGGCTTTGTGTTATTGCGAATCGTTCTTTTCCTTTCTGCGTATTTTTTTTCTATTTTTCAGCATTATCCAAACCAGGCGTTGATCTTGTATTGCTGTGTGATTACATTTTCTCTTGCGTCTTTTTTATATTGGTGATCATAATTTTTCGAGCATTCGTTATTTTTTTTTAGGATTTAAAATCGGTATAATTTCGGTGGACTCTGATCTTTCGTGTTTACGGCATCGAAAATTGCATCCACCGAAATCATAACGGTTTCAATTTCCATTTCGTACTCCCGTTACTATTGTCTTGTGCGGTATTTGACCTAGGTGCGGAAGGCTACAGAGTAACCACCCCTACGGCTACGGAAACTATGTTACCGTGGAAACGTGAAGACGATTACGAATCGGGTCATCCGATCAAGCAGCACGAATTTCCAGCCTGGTGCTCCAATAAAGAATATCTCGCCTACAGTTCGCCCTCCGCCACTTTCTTAGGTAAAAAAGAAAAAAAGAAGGAAAAATGGAAAAAACAAGAGAAATCACTCCAGCTCTCAAATATTAATGTACCGTAAAAGTTTTTTTCGATTTTTTCATAAAAGAGTAACGAATATGAAAACCAATAGACCGTCACGACAGCTGTAAGTCAGTTTTCCTCTAAGAAGATTAACAACTCTCTGAAAACTTTCAACTCGTGAAATCGCTCAGCGTCTGCCTATTTATTCCCAGCGGTACTTCCACATGCCCGATATGTCTTTCTGCTTTTCAGGTGGGATCGAACAGCCGAAAGTCCAATCCGTGATTGGCCTATTTCGACGCGAGAGCGTGTGCACGCCCGACAGTATCGATTGCCAGGAGACCGTCGACGAGGTGGACGAAACGGACGAGTACACCCCCGCGGAAATGGATTCCCCCGCGAAAACCAAGGGTACGTGACGCATAGCAGAAGGAGGGTACGTGTGGTTCATTTTTATTTCTTTTCCTTTTCTTTCCCCCTCTTTTTTCATGCCTACCGAGACGGATTATTCAATTTTCCATTCTACATCCCCTTCCATTCCCTTTCAACGTTTCCAACGCATGGAAGAAGTTTCGAATACTTAGCGAAATATATCGCCAATGTAAAAAAAATTCATATATTTCAAAGTTCTGAAATAATATTTCAAAATGACTCGATGATATATAACGGCTATAAATTAATAAGCTTTGAGCGGGAAATGTTCGAAGTGATACGCGAAGTGATACGCGAAACGTTGAGAAGCACTGAAGTATGCTATTTTTTAATGCGTTGTGACGAGCGTCACTCACGTTGCGTTACATGTTCGTGGCTATTTTTGCGAGCAATTGCAAAATGAGCATCGACACGCCAGTGCCCACGCGCTAACCGTCGTTTCGCTATAGAAGAAATATTGTTTCGTGAACAAACTGCATGCATAAATTATAATCTCTGTTCTGGAAATCTAATTCCTTTGTCACAAATCCATACAATTTTCGTTCTGTTTATTAATATTGTCATGTAGCAAAAGTAATTGAAATCATAAACTTATTAATTTTTTACCCATTATTCATTGTTATTGATTACTTTCTACTTTTTATGTTTTTATCATTAAGACATTGGTGTTTGCTGCCATATTTGCGATAGCGCTGTGGCGGAGAAAACCGGTTTCCAATAAATATATTTAGTATAACATCATTTTTATATATTAAATATATTTGGTGTCTGCTTAATTTCAAGATACATTAATCTGTCATGTACCAATTTTATTACCCTATTTCGTTTATCAAATGTATGTGTATTAAAATTTTTCAAATGAAGTATTTTCTAAATCTAAAATATCGGTTATAGTAGAAAGAGAACATTATTTGAGAACAAACATAAGAGAAGATAAGAACGTATTTTTATCGCGCGCGTGGAACTAATTACAATAAGGAATATTCTAGTCAAGCGCAAAAAAAGTGGCTTATTTTGGAGAATTTTTTTAAAGAAAATTACTATACACGTTTTTCTACACTTTTATATCTACTTGTACATATATTTAACAAAAAAATATTCTAATTTCGGTATAGCTAAATGTGTATTAGTTTTTATATTACGTAAATTTAAATACAAAATATAAAAATACATATATCGGTGGTTGACATTTTACTTTCCAACTTGATTAAAACAAAAAGTTCAAAACGATTTTTAGTTATTATTATATGAGTGTGGTTATAATCTGAACTAGAATAAATAGAAAATATTCCCAATTGTTAAAACAATGCGGTTTTGAAAAACAAGTATATCGATTTTTAACTCAACTTTTCAATTTAACGAATATGAAAAAATAATCAATTTACAGATATTGCAATAGTCTTAATTTATGCGATAAACAGACATGTATTTTATATACATATACGCAAAAATTGATAGTTTCTGAACAATTATATTAACTGACTCGAAAAATATGATTTCGAGAAAAATGCATTTCAAGTTTCAAATTGCGTTAAAATTTACAAAAATGAAAATTTATCTCTAATCGGCGATACTAGGACTGTACAACAAACCCTCCTTTAATTCTAAAAATTTAATGAAATGCTCATTTTCATTTTTCTCCTGTTTACGCTTGATAACAGTTTGTTTTTGAGCGCGTTGACAGAATGCATTAAATGCAATATACGCTAAAACAACTTCAAAACACTTACATCTCCATTATTTTTTATCGATAAAAGCTTTTAGGAACTTATTTTCGAGAGACCTTAAATATTAAAAGTACAAAAAAGGAAAATCGATTTTTTTCTAGACTAGAATATATCCTTAAATATCTCTTCAAGATACATTAAAATAGTTAAGAGACATCGATAATTGGCCAAAGCGCTATTCGTAAATCGATTTCCTCAAATAAATAATATCTTCGGCTTTCCTTTCCAGGCAACCCGAGGAGGGTGCCCGCGAGGAGGGTGTCAATGATGGAGCTCGGCTTCGCCGACCGAGCTCGCTCGGTGGACAAAGCGGCGGACGACGGATCTCACTCCTTGCCGGACTGCTGGAATGTCCAGAGAGTACGCCTTAACTCCCTCGCCTGTTCGCCCGCTCAGATGCCGACCCTATCGACCGCTCTGATCGCCTCCTCCACGTCGGAATCGTCGGAGGATGTGGAGGACGACGAGGATGAGAGGGCTTGACCCTTGGGGACCGTCGCTGAGGAGCGACCGTCCTCCTTCGCGGACGTCGAGCGTCGACGTCGTCGGCCCTTCCGACGACCACCGCGACACTCGTTGCTCACTTCGCTCCTGCGACGACCGAGTGCCCCCGTTTGAGAAGATCTGCCCTTGACAAGCCGCCTTCTGCAGGGGGCATCTCGCGAACCTGAATCTCGGCCTGAATTTTGTTAATGCGCCCCACAAATACGCGAAACAAGACGTTGCGATGAATAGATTCCGGGAAAAATGACTGTGCAAAGAGAGACTGTAAAAAATGCATCGAAGTTTTCGATTGAATTTTGTACGAGGAGAAATATTTAAGAGGAAAGGAGTGAAAATTTCACGTTAATTAGAAGGTTACACGAGAAGAGAAAAGAGAAGAAAAGATATTCTTTTAAAAAGTTAACGATGACAAGTTTCTCCGCGATGATAACGCGAAAAAGTGATGAATCTCTTTGGAATGAACGATCTTCTATTCAAGTTCGGCATTCGGTACAGCTCGCCAATTCGGAAGGAACACGTATACGAGATTGAAATTTGATGAATCACTGTTATTTTTTTCATCGCATCAACGCATTCGCGAGAACGAAGGCGCTTGTCAAGAGCAAGGGCTTCTTTCTAAATCCGTCTCTAAGACGTCTTGGAATTGTGGCCTTATAAGGACTATAAAAGTGCTTGGACGCCGACGACTTGTACGCTACCGTCGTTGTCGTCATTGTCGGCGCAAAATTGTCGGTACTATCGATAAAAGTGTGTTTGTGTTGTAAGAATTGTTGCGTGGCGCCGTTAAATGCGCCGCCAGCTTGTCCCAAGATTTACCACGAGTACCTTCTCTCGGGGGTGGATTAGACGATAATCATCGCGATTGTGTACTTCGCGATTAGCTTACGGTCAGACTAATCGACTTAGTAGAAAATTACGTATAAAGTCGGATTAAACATTTAAGTCGCTGCCACAATTTACTATAAATTCTGAACATAATTCTGCCAGTAGGATAATGAGAAAAACTTGCGCCATAATGTCACTCTCTTCTAGTAAAAATATCTAATTTTCAATAAAATAAATGATTCACATTACCTCCGAGCTATTTTATGATATCATTTTCTATAGAAAAAATTTAACTTTTATCTCCACGTCGCTTGATAGGAAATATTTTTATTCTTCCTAACAAGATTTTGCAAAACTCTCATTTCACATCAAACTTACACTCATCAAACTGTCAATTATAGATATACTATGACTCATCTCTGCCATAAGCTTTTGAAAATAATGAAAGGCGATTCGAATGATTGAGAATTAGACGTTCATTAATCATTCGATCAAATCTACACTTTGTTCGTTAAGTCGATAGTCTGGCCGCAGCTTCGCAAACAATGATAGTCCAACATTAGGTGCGTTATATCGATAGTAGTTCCGTTATCGTGATTCTGACGCATGTACGCACGTATGCATGCAACACAGCACGTCACGGTATACGTAGATGACATTCTATAGTGACGCATCCCCAGCTGAATTTAGGAGAATTAATTCCTTTCAAACGAACGGTTACACGACGTTCAGTCGATGGTACAACTACCAATTGCGTAGAACCAGATGAGAGAGATGCGTACAGGCGCGCCGCTCTCCCTTCGAGTATGGCCTTAAAGAAACCTTTCCAACAAGCGGATACTCGTGAGTAACACGGTGCCTGGTGTATAATACACTGTTATAATACAATGTTAATATCGCGCGGCCACGGCACCGCTTGGTCAATATTTAGCGAAAAGCCACCAGAAGCATGTACATACGGTTTTTCTTAGAGAAGATACGCTAGAAAATTGTCGACATCCTCATCGTTGTCATCCTCAGCAACATCCTCATCCTCATTATTTTTGTTATCGTTTAGTATTATTTCGTCGGTGGAGAAAGAAAGAAGAGAGAGATAAAGGAGGCGATCGCTAGACCATTCGGTATTCTAGTTATTATTGTTACACTTGTTACTATCGCTAGTATGTGATTATACTAGTTCTACTACTAATAATTAATAATACAATTATAGCCATCGCTCGGCGTGAGCGGAAAAGCGTCGAGTTCTTGCTAGTTTCGAGGGGAACTTGGTCAACAGAATCTTTTGATAGTTATTGGAGACTTATTTTGATTATCAAAATACGAATCGAGAATAGAGAATAAAGTTAAGAAGTGGGATCGTAGAACCTTGTCATCAACCGTCCCAAACATTTCTATTGTAGGTATATTACAGAAATTGCTATCTTCCTTAGGCTTGTTCTTTTTAACCAAACATCTTGCACTATTTATCTTTCCTCCTTTTCTCTACATTGAAGAGAAAAAAAAAGATGAATCATGCCAAAAGTTTAGCTAACAAGAACCTCTTGTATTTATTTTCGCATCACTCATAACAATTAATACCAATTTTATTCTTGCCATAATTAGCTTAGACTTTCAATAAGCTTTTGATCTTTAACTTTTAACAATTACCTCATGGCTCTTTGGGACCCTGTGATTTTTATACTTCCTTATAAATGCATCATAAACGAATCAGTACTTAATTTAGCGTACGCGATCTCTGATACCGAACCACTTTTGTATCTACGTAAGGGTGACAGGGTATAAGTTCGCTTTGTAAAAAAAAAAAACAGAGAAAAACACACGGGAAGTTTTTTGTGACGATAAATAAAAATGATTTCGTACAGATTTGGAAGTTCCCCTCGCATGGAATATTCCTCGCGGCCTTTAGTTACTTAGACCGGATAAAAAACATCGGACTAGTCTCTAGGTGCTAGTCTCTACGCTGTTGATTTGTTAAAAAGGAAATAAATGTTTATTTCTTAAAACACTATTACATTTGATATTTTTATTTCACGTATAATCTCTTACCTCTTTATCTGCCAATTCTTTAAAGATCATTCTCGTCAATAATGACACTTCACTTTTAGAAGATCGACATACTTTTTCTAAACTGTTATCAGCTGTTATCTCGTACTTCCCCACTGACATCTTTCTGTTTAAAAAGAAAAATAATAATTAAAAGAATTATAAATGTTTCTGTAATTACGTGCTTCCTCGAAGCTTCCTCAAATTATTTCCAAGCAAGAATATTTTCATGGACTTTGAACATTCTTAGTGTCACGACCGTCTGAAAATAGCATCTCAAGTCATCTTTACTACATAGAACAATTATGAACCAGACAATAAAGTAATTATCGTTAGTTAATGAATGAATTGCATCTTCAATCTTCTGACGATCGCTCTATGAATCGAGACAGAACAGCCTTGGTGATCACACGAGGCAGACCGCGTAAGTGATTTTCGTGCAATAAAGTCGATCGCGGAACAAACATGCCTGGGGGTGTCGTATTTCTAGTCTGTATCCCCACTTTGAACTACGAGCACGAACTTGTATTCGGTGTGCCGGTGAAACGCTCGAAGAAGATCGAAAAGAGCAAAAATAAAATCGTAGGGCCGAAGGTAGACCTTCGTCTAAAGGAAACAAAAAACCGCGCGCAATTACTCACGCTCGACGATGATGGGGATAACGAAGACAACGATGTCGGTATTGATGTTGGCATTGAAGGCAGAAAATATCCTCGCGGATACCCCATGCGATCAAAATCACCAGTCTTTGTGTCGATGGAAACGGTAAAGTATAGTAAAGAACATTACAAGATGCAGACATTACAAAAAGATAAAACATCAATTATAGTAAATATCAATTACGAAGTTTTTTTTTTTATTAAAAGATAATATTAACTATCAAAATTATATGAAAGAATGAATTGTACTTATTAAGCAGATATCTGTAATTATAGATTCTCATTAATAGACGTAGACGTTTCTCGTTAATTCTTTGATGACTTTAACTCTTCAACTTTAAGATAACTTCATATTTTAAGAGTTTATTAACTGAATTAACTCGCTTTCAAAAAATGAGAATTTTCTTTGCGAATATTTCTTCAATTTAATTATATTCGTTCTTATTAACTTATGAAGTTTGCTTTTACAGGTGCTGGAAGAGCTCCTTAAAAAGCTAAGAGTAGAACACGTTGTGTGGTGCAAGGACAAGGAAGACATGTATTATGAGGTACGGCCAAAGTTGCGGTTACATTTCCATCTATATGTATAAGCGGGAAATTAATTTATTCGGACATTATGCATAATGCTCGGTCAAAATAGGCAGGCATTATGCACATTGACTAGCCATCATGCATAATGCTCGAATTAATCGTATTTCTCGTAACATATACATATTTTCAAACGATGAATGCAAACAAAGCTTTCTGGTGGAAGGTGATATTTCCGGTACCCGCTGGTGAACCCTGTGAAAATTGTATACATTGCCTCACCGAGTTGGGTATCGGTGTTAAAATGAACTCGATAGTCAGGTGATTTTACGCTGAACTAAAGAAATTATACGAACAAGTTCCAGTACGTTCGAAGTCATGACTTTGGCCATTGATTTTTTATTTTTAGCGTAATCCCGACCCAATGTACGTACAGCGGTGTGAACGGTACAAAATCGTTGGCTGTCAAGGATGAAGTTGCTCGCAGGTTTCTTAAATTGATTTTTGCTGAGATTAGCATAAATGTGAAAATACATTACATACATTTCCTGCTATTCAGACGGAAAGAATCGGAGGACCGTAAAAACGCTTGGGACGATTTCGTAGGATCTATTAGATCGAAATTGACGGTGAAACAGGTCGTCGATGGCGTTCGCAGTGGCGGTGATCTTACCTTCGATTACGTGAGCCTTGTATTAACTGCGGAGTAAGAAACCACAAACTACTCTTATTATCTTTATATATATATATTATATATCTAAATAATTAAGGCAGATTTCCGGTAAGTTCATTCAACGACCATAAAAGAGTAGTCCTCTAATATTACCAAAAAATTATTTTTGGCAATTTTTATTTTATTATTATTAATGCTACCAAGATATTGTATGAAAAAGGCGTTGTAGAATATTAAATATAAACTTCATCTTACATTGCCGCAATACGTAAGTTGTATTAATAATAATCAGTTATGTGAAAACTACGATCTTACAGCTGTCTCGCTGCACTTGGTCTCATCGAGAACAGTGCAACTAATGTCGTTGCAGCCATGCTAGTTTCTCCTCTCATGGTAAAACCTTTTAATGCATAACTTTGATAGTCGTTAAACATTGTTTGCACGTCACTTAACACTTTTGATCGTCTCGTTGATCAAAGGGACCAGTGATGTCTCTAACTTTCGGGACGATCATAGCCGATAGACACCTGCAACTGGTCGGTCTGAAGAGCTTGATGCTCGGTATCTTCTTATCGATACTATTTGGCTTCATATTTGGCCTTATCCTCGGTACAACTGAAATGCCTTGGGGCTATGGCGACTGGCCAACTGACGAAATGAAGGGCAGGTGGATATCACTAAGAGTGATCAGACACTGTCAATAACGCAATAGATTGCATACGGCTTTCAATATATTATATACATTTAAATATACAGTTAGAAATTTTATCTCAAAATGACAATTTCCTTCTCTATAGAGGCAACTATAGATCGCTTTGGATGGGTGTTCTTTGGGCTCTTCCATCTGGTACAGGTGTCGCGGTCGCTTTGCTGCAAGGTAGCAATGGGCCGTTAATTGGTGTCGCCATATCAGCTTCGTTACTACCGCCAGTCGTCAATTGCGTAAGAGAACAATAGTGCATATATCATATAAAAGCAAAATCTACGTAATAATAATTAGACATGTGTCGTATAAAGATGTTTCTTTTTCTCCCTTTTTTAGGTAACTGTCAATGATTAATGAAATAATATATTTTTAATGTTATATATTGATCGGACTAAAAATTCATTTTTATTTTCCGCAGGGCTTATTTTGGGCTCTGGGATGCATATGGCTCATATATCGACCAATAAAAATGCCCCATATTAAAGGCGAATCATACACAAACTTTACTAGCGCCTATAAATATATCTACAGCGATTACTTGCCCGTAGAATTCTTCTGCAACGGCATTATCAGCGCGTGTCTAACGTTTATCAATGTAATGTGCATCTTTATTACGGCGATAATAGTCTTGAAGGTAATTAAAGTTAGCACGCTACATAGTTAATGGTCGAGAACAATCGCAAATTGCAGCTGTAATTTGCATCTCGTATTATTACATCACCGACACAACATATACTGACGTCGTTAATTACGACTTTGCCATCGAGTTAAGCAAATTACATCGCGATACGACAAATGCACCGATTTTAAATAATATATATAATCCACTTTTATACGTTATTTTTATTTTTACCGTAATCATTCGTTTGCAACCACAGATTAAAGAAGTGGCCGCACCATATACGTCAACACCGGAACTGCGTCGATTCTGGGAACACGACATTCGACTGGTTCGCGATAAGAATATCTCTAGAGATAACAGTTCTTTGAATTCAAGGTAACAAAAGTTATACTTTAGATTACTTTATCTATATGGATCGTAAATAATATAAAAATATATGTTATAAATGTGATGATTCTATTAAAAATATGACCCCTATTAACATTCGCATTTAAATTAGTTTCTACGATGGATTGAGTAAAACTAAACAACGAGCATTAGAACGTACGCTAAACGAAGCAGTCAGAGAAGCGATAAATGACGAAACTTTCAGAAAAGTACAAAGGCTTAGTTATGGGCATGGACCGGAAGAGGTATTATCTTAATATCATATAAATTTAAATGTTGTAATATTTATAATAATTTATATATTATGTTATAACACACAATATCGAAATTATTACTATATTTTTAATTACTTCTTTTAATATTTGAAAAAAATATTGTAGATTAATCCTCGGCTTGGTCTTCCTGCTCGCGGAACTGGGGGCAGAGCTAACATAAAAGATAGTGAAAACACTGAGGAAATAACAGATGGAAATCTACAGTCACACAAAGGCTTGAATTCTGGCAATACAAGCGAAGACTTGATCGCATTGGATCGTTTAATAACGTATCTTTTGAGTCAGCCAAACAATCCCACTGGCGGCAATTTGGATTCATGGAGACGCTCACATCGAGCTAGTTCACGAGGCTATAGACAATTACGTGGCACTGCCGCAGATATCGCGGAAACCGGTGGCGTTGGCACGACATCTCTTTGAGCATAAATTGACATTTAAAGAAAAGCCAGCATCGTATATAAAATAGTAACACGATAGCTAGTTTTAAGTTAAATGTCATAAGTATGAGATAAAATTGTAATGAGGAAAAGGCACATACAGAAAGCTAATTTTGCTAAAGATATGATAGATTATTAATATCTGCATTTGTATCACAATTTACACAACGTAGCGAATATAAGAACTTCAAATAGAGATCTATAAATCACCTTAATCATCAGATGGTTCAGTGCCAAAGTACCTATCGCCAAAATTACCAATACCGGGCAGTACATAAAACTTCTCATTTATCTCAGGATCTAACGCAGAGGTGACAATCTTCACTCGCGGAAAGGCGTAGGCAATCGAATGTACGCCAGATTCAGCCATCAACAATGACGCCAACAGTACATTTTCCTCAGCAACGTCATGATCCAGAAGTACCCTGATCGCCATAATAGCAGCAGCACCAGTCGCAACAGTGGCATCCATCAA